CATTCTCTGACACCTGGATTGCATGCTAGTAACAGCACAGTTTGGTGATTTGCGGTACCGCTGAACAGATTCAGCTTCATTGGCCCAAATCTAGCATGTGGCCTTAGCTTCAAAGAACGGCATCTTCTATCTGAAACATTGAAGAAAGGCTTGCAGCTCTGTGACAAATCTCCTTGAAGTGTGAATGGGTAGTGTCATCTGTGTTTAAATACAGCTTTTAATCATTACAAGCATATAATGATTGGATCTATTTAATTAATAATTCAAAAGTGATCAAAGACAGTACAAAAATATACACTGTTAATTCCAAGAGTTCAACACAGAAGATGAAAATCTGCATTTAAAACACAGGCACACCTATTGCTTATAACAATTTCCAAAACTGAAAGGAGGCTGCATTCCAATTTGTGATTAGATTTAGGTTTACAAAACCGCTCTTAAAAAAACATTAAAGTCAGAATTTGTTTTCCCCCTTCCCAATCCTGCTGTAGGTCTTACCTTAAATGATGCCTCTTGATTCGATCATCTTCTTCTTTACTGTTCTTTTTAGCTGTCCCACCAGCACTAGTGCCGGTCTCCAATCCAGCGCTGACTCCTCTGTCCTCCTCTGCTCTGATGTTCCAAGGAGTCTGCGTGGGTGCACGGTGCTCCATAGACTTACCTTGTGTCTCTCCTCGTCTCCCGGCCGAACATCTGAAGTGCGCATGCGCCCGCCCCAAGATCATTTGCAGCCGCCCGAGACTCTTCAGATCTTCAGACGGGAACACGCGGCAAAGACACAGGTAATTTGAAACCTCTTAGAAAAGTTTTTGTTATTAGTATTTTTGCATATATCTACTGCTTGCTAGCAGGAGATACATGCAAAAACCGCTGAGCGTTTAATAACCCTTTAAGGACCCATTCACACCACATCCAGATCATCTCCAGACCAGACTGCTTCCGGACCCAAAATGCATCCCTATGCTATTTCTGGCCTCTGTTCACACCAGTGCAGTCCGTTCCAGATCAGACCAGAAAAATAGGGCATGTCTCAATTTGTCTGGTCTGGAATGCACTAGAATGCATAAAAACGCACTGGAACATACCTGAAAGCCCATTTTAAGCTAAAAAAAAAAAAAAGTTTAGGAACGCAGCAAAACGCAATGTACTGCGTTCTAGATCTGGCCCAGAAAATGGTGTGAACCTACCTTTATGACATATTTCTGGCTCCAGATCATTGTCCCTCCAGATGGAACCCTTTAGAACCAATAAGATGGAAGAACATATGACCACTATGTGCCTTGACATATGCGTTATTGAATATTTCAATTACCACTAACATAATCCAGGTGGTTAAACAGATCTTTGTGAATTGGTTATAAACATATCTGGCCAAATCTGATTATGGGCTGCCTAATCATGTGTTCAAGCAGCTATATTTACTATTGTATAGTACTAGTACAACTTGGATCACACTTATTTTTATACACTCCAAATACAACAGAAAACATTTGTGGATTACCTGTTTCTGCGATATATGACAGATTACTGTGCTTCTATCATTTTTTATCGATGAGTATATTCTGTATTAGGTGTCAGCATGTCCCCGTTGACAACAGCAACAAGTTTTAGTTCAAGAGTAAACCTTGTATAACGTAAGTGGGAAGTTTATGGCTGCAGCTTTTATTTCCATAGAAGAAACGAAATGTCTGTGAATATTTAAATGTCCCAAAATCAATAAATCACTTTAGCTTACTCACCAAATGTTCAATATAAGAAAAGTATAAAAAAAAGAGTTTAGTGAAAAAAATACATTTGCTTGACTCTGAAAGCATAGTGTTTATTATATGCAAGAGTAAACAAAAGGGGGCACACTACTGTTACCAGTATAAAGAAGTCCCTTTTGTACAGAGAAAGGATCGTATTGCAAGTATTGCTGGACAATGGCATGATGGAGTGGTTTGCAAGATAGGTTAAGTTGGTCAGATAGTGTATAGACAATTTCTTCCCTTTCAGTAGGGAAGTACTAAGGAAAAACAAATACTTCCACACAGGACACAGATTGACTGTGCAGAATCACCACTGTTCATGAAGATGATCATTTTTGATGGCACCACTATGTTACAACACTGTGACAGACTAAATTACTAAGGCACTCATAAAGTGATAATGCATGTAGTAATACCAGACTATGCATAAATACCTCAATAAAGTAAAAATGTGCAATTTCTAATGGCAGAACAAAATGTCCTTGGTTACTGAAATAGCTGAAGCACATAATACTGAGTAATAGGTATACATCATTTAAGCAGGACTCAAAAGCTGAGCTATTTTGATATCCCCATTTTAAAAATGGAATTATGTGTTTAAATCTTTTATACTCAGAAGCCTGTGGCCAATTTGTTAGAATCTAGATGACAGAATTGCAGGCTTGATATTCAAGGTGCCTTAAAGTGTTTCCAAACCCAATATCAAAAATGTAATATACTGCAGCATACCATTCCTTAGATGTAGCAGCTGCAGGAGTTGTAGTTTTTTGGCTTTTTTTTTTCCTTTTAATCACATGATCCTGCTACTAACACTTCCTGACAATGCACATCCAGCTCACCTTTCTCTATAACATGGGGGAAAGGGGTTTCTATAGCGCAGAGAGATACCTGGGAATAATTCTAACTGATAATAGTCAGCAAAAGCAAAGAGCACAGGAAGTTATCAGCTCACAAGACCAACAGGTTTTGCGCTTATCAAAGAGATAGAACAAAACGCTTTCAATGATATATTAAACAGACCGTCAGGGACAACATTTCATTGTTGGGGTGTACAAAACAAAACACATCAACCATTTTAAAGATTTAAAACTCCTGCTCAACAGTGGGCAGTATAAAGTGTCTGGTATCTCGGTTAGCCAGAAAAGCCTTTTCTGTGTGCCCCTCAGGATTGACTCGACTTTCCTAACATTGGCCACAATCTATGCCTTCCGAAACAAACACTGCATTCACATGATGTTGGACAAAGTAGGAAATCTGAGGTTCCAACTTTTCCATGTGAATAGCCTCAAGTGGTGTACACAAAAGGGGCTTGAAGATGCTTCATAAATTATCCAAGCTGAAATATCACAATGCCCTTAACCTTGGGTTTCTGCTCCATAGAGCACAGTCATTGGTGAGAAATGACCCCTTCTGATATCACCCACAGGAACTACCAACAATACTACACCACATGCAGCATACACTCTCTGTCCAATAAAAAATACCTCAGTAGCCAATAAAGGAGAGAAGACTGCTGGGCTTTGTGTGTGTATGTGCAGCAGGGCATGGTTATTGTAGCTCCAAAATTGGAAAAGTCGGGAAAACGAGGGGTGGAGTAGAGAGGCTTTTCTGGTTAACAAAAGTAACAGCACAGGCCTTAGAAAGGGCTTTTACTTTTAAACATTTGGGAAGGTGCATAGTTTGCCTTTCCCTTCTGTGTCTGAATCCGTTTCAGATACCAGGCTTTTGTAAATGTGACCTACTGGCAAGATATAAATGATCTCCCAAGATGGCTGCCTATGTTACGCTCAGCTTTTCCTTATGCATCTTACAGTGGTTGTGCATGTAAGATGGCTGTATCCATTGTGTGTAGATAGCCAGCACATTTTAGTTTTCTTTAGCCTGATATTTTTCACTGTCAACAAGCAACTTCATGTTTTTTAGGTATATTTATATACCCATTGCCTCAAACACATGCAAGCCAAACTTATAAAGATTCAGCCAGTCTGAGGGTAAAGAGTTAATTTTAGTAAATTCCCTCATGGTTTTAATGCCAAGGTTTACCAAAATATGTGACACTTTATATAATAATGGAGTCTGGGTCCAACTCATTTATACATATTTATAAAAATATATCCGTCTGTATAACATTACTGGTTATCGTGCCCTGTGGCTCAGATCTGGTTGTAAGTAGAAAGGAATTTTAGGTGCATGTCTACAAACAACAAGGGCATATGAATTTATAAGTGTCTAATACTGGAATTCACATTTGTTCCATTTTCAATTAACCTATTATTTTGGCAAAATATATGGGCAGACCTTTGAAGAAGAAAAAAAAAAAATCACATGAATTCTTCCAAGGAATTTTACTTACTAAACACCATTAATAATATATGGGACATGTCATTAGCTCCGCAAAGAGTTTCATATGTAGATTAGGGTTACAGTCCCTACAAATTTCAAAACACATTTTGGTTGCATATCATTAGGCTTCATCCTGAAGCACGTGAGAGAGACATCCAGAAAACAAGTCTCCAACAAGAGAAATGTGGGCTTTTTAGTTCATATTTCTAGAAATGACCACTGAAAATAATTCAACATTTTGGTGATTCCTAGGAAATTGAAATATCCAATCAATATGTATATTTGATTTATTAAATGTTGTAAAGAACAGTTAAATGAAGGCTGATACTTGCACAGTAAATCTGTCCGCTGTGTACATAAAACGGCCGATACTGAAATCTTGCACCCCCTGAATAGTATTTTTGGTATTTAAAGAACACTGAGGTGGTATTATAGCAAGTAATCTTAACGATGCCTTGTATAATCTACAATTTTTCCAAACGTTATGTACAAAAATACAACATGGGGTGGTCTCTCTTTCATTTTGTACCTGGTTTCCCACGATACTGAATACATACAAATAGAAAGGCATTACATTTTGATTGCACTTTCAAGCCTTCTTATCTTTGCAACATGGCCACTTTTTGTGCAAAAGAATTTAGGAGAGGTTAAATTATTTATACCGCTAAAGTTTTTGAAGTGCGGCCTACCTAGGTTCAGGACACCTGGAAATTCTGGGTAGACATTGTGAAATGCTAGCATCTGGGTTGTAACCAGGTCCATATCACAAACAATATTCCTGATTGCCTCCATCTGCCTGATTGGAAGATAATTCTCTTTGTAAACCTCTTTAAACTACAGCCCCAGAGGTGTTGTCTTCATGACAGTGGGATCCATTAATGACACAAAACAACGTTGAAAAAGTTCAGTTTGTGCCTGCAGCTCTGACCAAACACCTTAGCATCTGAGCCACATCAGCTGCACAAGAGTCCATCATTTCAAAGGCCTTGAAATTACAAAGTGACCATGCTCACAGTGCCCATTCTTCCGGAAAGGATTTTTACTTCTCCAAGTTCCTGCCAAAATATCAGAAGGGGGAAATACTTGAAATGATATAAAATGTTCAACAAGTGTATGTGAGATAGAAACATCTGATGGATTCACACAAATGGCACAGGTGCTAGAAAAATGCCATATATATGCATTATGGTGGGTTATCCAGAACCCATAATTCTCAAAATGAGCTTAGTCTATAGCAGCAAGGACCACTTTAAGTAAATGGCCATTGTGGGCTTTCGTTAGATCCTAAGGTCAGGTGTCCTATGTTTTTCGACTGTTCCAATTGTAGTCTGTACTTCTCTGTTCTATTGATCTGTCCATGGGGGATTTGGATTCGTGAGGGGATCTTTGAATAGGTGGAGAACGAGGATCTGAGAGGGTAGAGGACTGCTGGGAAGGACCTTTGTAGTCCCCGGGTTTTTCTGGATGGAATGAGCGGTAATGATCTGAAGGTCCTTGTCCATGAAATCCCATTGGGGGCCGGTGATCAGACCCCATTCTTCTGAAGTCCTGCTGATGGTAACCTTGAGGACGAAATTCATCTGATCTTCTCCTCTTGTTGTCATGATGATGTCTATAAAAATAGAGAATCATTTTAAATCTCTTTGGAGAATCTGTTTGTACCAACAAAATGACATGAATAATAATAAAAATAATCATCATCATTTCTAGTAAAATGCAGCACAAAAGAAGTTCAGGAGCAGAATCCATTTCACGAAAAAACTGAAGATCTGCTATGTTACAGCAAACATGAAGAAGTGTTAAAGTGTATTTCAACTTTTGCAGCCAAATTGTGATAACACCTATTTTATATGAGTTACACGTTCCCTTTTACATAACATAAGCTAAAAAAAAAAAAAATAATAATGAAAAAATTATTCTTGCCGTTTAAATTGCTTCTACTTGTGTCCGGGTTTCCTGGCTAAAGAAGGGTTACAATTTATACTTGTTTTTCCTTCTTTGTAATGTTAGGAGGGGCTGTGAGGGGCTAAAGGATTACAGCCTTGCCTTCTGCATTCAAATGTTAATGAAGTAAATAAGAGAAATACAGTCCTCAAATTTCAGTACATTAGGACAGATCACTGTGTGGCCTGATTCACATCCTAAGTATTAGTGTTTTCACATGTTTATGTGTGTTGTTGCGTGTGTATACGCGCATGTATTAATTATGCTTGTTTATATGAGCAGATTGTGATACATTGAAGTCAATGGACAAAACCGCACATGCACACGTAAAAACATGCAAACTAATTGCAATGCGCGTTTTCAAGCGTTTCCTATAGAGTATATGGGGCCAAAACAAGCTGAGATCTGCCAAAAAAAAGCTCATGTACTTTTTCCGGCGACAGGCGGTTTGCTTATTGCGACAAAACGTTTAGGTGTGCACAAGGGCCATATGAATGGGATTTTTTCAGTGAAGCTTTTGGTCAGGCTGAATCCACTGCGACAAGACAATCGGTGTGAACCAGGCCTTAAAGGAGAACTATGAGATGAGTGCTTTTCACCTCATAGTTCTAGCCGACCTGTGACAATGAGACTGTCACAGGTCGGCTCAGTAGATCGGGAGGTGAGCGAACAAATACCGGCGTTTCACCTCTTGCTGGATTCCCCCCTCCCCGCTCTGATCCGCCAGCGCTGACTGGCGGAACGGACGGGGGAGGGTACAGCTGGCTCTGCCTCTAGATAGGCAGAGCCAGCTGTCAGTCACGCAGCTGGGCGGATCCCGGCATAATTGTCGGGATCCGCTTCAGCTGCGGCGTCTTAGTATACCGCGAGCAGCAGCTCGCGGTATACTGAGCTTAGAGTGACGGGAGGACGCTAGCTTGTGTCCTCCCGTTACCCTAAGGTGAACTATGGGGAAAAGCCTTAACCCCATAGTTCTCCTTTAAGGTGCAAAGAAAAACCTGGAATCAGCCATGTTGCCTGCTCCAACAAAACATCTAGGTGAGAAATATTTTTTTTTTTTTTAATTAGTTTTTGGTATGCTGTGTAAATAGGAACACAAACATATAGTGGGGTTTTCTCAGATTTGACTGAAAATACACTTTAACCCTAAGCAGTTTCCTAAAAAATACATTTTATCTTGAATTTCTCCTGGAAAATAGCAATGCAGTGCATTTCTAGTATGTTGGGGTGCCTAGGAATGCATGTACCTTTAGCCTCATAGCTGTATAAGTGCAGTGTGAACACTAAGCCATTTTGCCTCTGACTGCTATTCTCATAAGATTTGGAGTGAGATTTGGCGATGTCATTATTGCGCTAATTACTGCGTTCCTTGCTAGAGGCTCTGACATGAGGAAGCCTCTACCCAAGATGGGTGACAGTGCAGAACAAGGCATATTAGGTCAATATTGGGGAAAGATCAGCTGCAAGGAGTCCAGAGACTATACTAATGATGAGTTCTTTGACCACTCCCTGCCTTTTTTTGACACAACTTCCAGAGTTCAGTTCTTTCACACTTTTCAGTCACAACAGTCAGCAAGCACAGCAGAGGATCCATGTAAACAATACAAGCAAAAGGGTGTCCATTGAACAGGTTGAATAAGGAGGTGCCTAATTAAGTGTGCTTGAGTGCAGTGGCGGGCAGGGGGGTGCCTCAATGCAGTGGCAGTAAGGGAGGTTGTGCTCATGATACAGGCACAATGGTGAATGTGGCATTGCTGGTCATCAGTCCCCAATCTGCTCTGTGGTAAATCCAAGATGTTATATACCACAGCACTAACCTTCAGCAGCTGCAGATAGCGCACAAGTGTGCTCCTGTGTTTTCTAAACAATTTAGCATGTGTATGGAAACTTGTGTTTATAAAAAAAGGTAGACAAAAAAGAGTTAGACAACATCCACGTGCTAATGCTCACTACGTATGAAGGAACAAAGTCTCTTATAATAAAAGTCTGAGCCTTGATGCAGACCTTTGGGTAGGTAAAAAATAAATAAATCTGTATTGGGATGTAAATATGCTTGTTTTGCCCTTCTTTTCCCAAACTCCAGATGACTGATCTGCCAAATACTGAGAATTGTATTACAGTATTTATATAGAAATCACAAGCCAATAATCAGTATGCTCAATACCTGTCATAATATTCCCTGTGACCACGATGGTCTCGTTCATTGTTATACTGGTCATAAGGCCGCTTGCGGGCTGGAGGGTTTGGCCTGTAGTTTGCAGAATTCCTCCGAGGATCACCATGAGGACGTCGATCAGAATAGTGGTGATCTTTGTATCGGTGTTGATCATACTGGTGATGGCGGTCTCCTCCCCATGGCTGGTTATTATTACTATTGCCTCCATAGTTAAATTGCCGTTCCCTCCACTCACCTCGATCTGTACGACACATAACATGAAGTCATTATTTCCAATATAAGCAGTTGTGAAACTTAACAATATATATTATTAGTTACCAGAAAGCAATGGAAAAAAGTAGCAGAAAACCTTAAAAAGTCTGTCACGGGGGGGGGGAGGGGGGCATGGTTCCCTTAAACCTTCCTGTCATGGCTAAATTTCAGGCTGATCTAAAAGGCAAAGATTCAGCACTTCCTGATAGAAACAGACTGTCTCCAGCTCATTCCGATTGGCCAGTGAGGTTGTCTATAAAAGTGATGGGCCAAAAGAAATATGGATTGGGGAGGGCAATGGCAAGCTTTGAAATTACCGATGCTGGTCAAAACATCTCAGCATTTGGCCATGACAGGACGGTTTAGGAGGCTACTGCAAGTCCTAAGTCCCTACACTCCCTACCTGCAGCCATTTTCCCCCCACATCCCCAAAAAAGACAGAATCTCTTTATGACTTTAATGTGCCATAGCCAATGTTTTAACTGACCCGTAGGTCATTTTTCTTTCCTAAGTGGACACTACTCACCTGAATTATTAAATGGTCTCTTATTAGGGCTGTCATAGTTTTCTCTTTGGTGCCCATGCATCTGTGGCGGATGTGGTGGCATATTATGCTGCATATGGAGTCCGTGTTGCTGTGAGGCAAGATCGTCACGGCTGGATCCAGATGCTTCTTGTCGGAAAAGCTTCTTGTTAGGAGGCCCATCCTTCTTCTTATGTTCCTAACACATTAAAAAAAATGATACACTGAATTAGAAAAGGTATATCTTACATACTAAAACCACCAAACAGGCACATGAAACATACAGTGGTAGGGGTGCTAGTGACAAAGTGCCTTCTTTATGCAGGGTATACAAGCAGAGTGTTGCATCCCCAAATGAACAATAAGCGGTAAAATAATAAGACTTTATTTCTAAATGTATGGAGTCATCGCACAGGGAGCCCAATGTCTGAACAGGCCCTGTCGGCAGAAACCAGTTCATTTATGTGGCTGGCTGAAGTCACATTAAACTGCTAATTAATGCAACAAGTGAAAGCCAGCCACAAGTGTCCTAGAGGGGAATCGAACTCTAGACCTTTTGTCTAACATGCCAAGGCCCAAACCAGCTGAGCCACAGCAAGCACTGGAACTTTCTCAATCACTAGATCATAAAACCAAATATGTTCTTTGTGAGCAAAACCTAAAGTCCAAGAATAGTTCACATGCAGGTAACAAAGAAAACCAATATTCAGTAGCAGTACTACATCAGGGCAGCAATAAAAACTGATAATTAAGTTATAATGTATCTTATTAATGGTGGCTATATAGGAGGGGGGGGTTGAAAGTATCACATACTGCAGGGCTGGACAAATCCCAGGAGCCAGGAAATAATTGCACCTTAAAGTGACACTAAACTAGGGCTGCAACTAATCATTATTTTCATAATCGATTAGTTGGACGCTTATTTTTTATTCCGATTAATTGGATAATTAAAAAAAATTAAATTCCATCTTTAAATTTAAAATAAAATACATAAATGGAGTGTCACAAAAAGAAAGTTTACTTCAGAATAAAACTGTGTTTACAATTTTTTGCCATCGCATAGCACTGGAACGCACGGGATCGCGGTGCTGCGCATTCCAATGCAGGCGATCGCAATGCGGGTGGGAGGAGTGTTTGCACGCATTCGTGGGAGCGGGGGACTTTACTTTTTTATTTGTATTTTTAAAATGTATTTATTTTATTTACTTTTATTTTTTAAACTTTTTTTGTTAACTTTATTGCTATCACATGGCGGGGCTCAAAATCCCCCTATGTGATAGCATATTAAAGATGATAGGTTCTCTTTAAAGGTGACATTAGGGGTCTGTGGCTTCAGGCAGGGAATGTAAACACAGCAGGCAGTGGGTGTGTGTGTGCAATAGGCAGTTGGCTATTGCAATTTGAAATAGCCAATAGCAGGCTGGCTATTGCACTCGCCCACTGCCTGCTGTCAATTAGCAGAGGAGGACCGGAAGGAGAAGTGTGACACATTCCTCTAAAAACATGGAACAGACAACAGTGTAAATTTTAAAGCTAAACTCCAAGCTAAGAGACAAAAACAAATTAAGGGAGCGGTTTTACCTATGAAAGGATTTGGATTCTTTTCTGATATTTTTACAGCCCTGTCACACAGCACAGCCCGGTGAATTACCCCATTTTCTGCTACAGTTACAGACTGTAAAAAGGATACAACGGTATCCTCTCTTCATCCCCAGTCTGCTGGCTAAACATTGAAAGAACAGCAGATGATGAATGAGGTCATCTTTTTGATCATTCTGCTCTCTCAGCATATCAGCATATTCCCCGTTGGCACATGTGCACGTAGCACACCTGCCTGGCTTCCAGTCCTGCTCTTCTCTCTCCCAGTCTTAGTGCTGCTGTATAAGGAATTGCAAGAGGCTGATATCATATTGTCTTATTGCTCATTATGGCTCTTGGAAGAACAATGACTTCCTGGAAGATCCAGTTTTCTTCTGCTGCAGTTGTAGAGATGCTGACATTATGAGGAGTGACATGCAGAAACAAAAAAGCCAAATACCTTTACGTCTTCTTCCTGGGACCTCTTTTTATCTGCCATTTTGTACAACTTGTGCAACTTCCTGGCATCAAATTCAGTGAATTTGGAGACAAATATCCAGAGATTTCTTAATTTAAACAACAACAAAAAAAATGAATTGGCATTAATTTACATTAAAGGTAATAATGGTCTAGAGACCCAAAATCTTCAACTCATCTATCCCTTTATAAAGGTTCAGATTAAAATATTCTTATGAATACTCTTGACACTTACTCTTGGTTTCAGTAGCTGCCATTAGAATTATCACAATGTTGAATTTTCAGCAAATGAACAGCAATTAGCTCTGGCATAACTCTAATTCTTATATGTGCCTCTCTAAGAAAATTTAAGGTGGGGAAGTACACTCAGTACAAAAAGTGAACATATACATATTTCCTTCCTAGAAGGTGAAAGGTCACAGACACGCTGGTAAAACCAGGCCGGTGACAACACACAGCTAATAGAGACAACTGAATGCTGCTCTCGCTGATGGCTGACCACCCAACCCTGGGAAACAGTGCCTCATTACTAGTCACATCATCTCAGGACAAGGGACTGGCATTAAGCTCTACCTCAAAAGAATAACTGACTCCCACTGATTATTTATCAACTACCCATTCTATTGACCTGCCAGACATTTACCGACACCCTTTTGAGCCCCCGCCATTTTATCAACCCTTTGCAAAGTCCTATTGACCCTTGTGGGTCAATACTGACCACCATAGGGAACCTTGCTCTAGAGCCTAATTTTAAACACATATAACAGAAATTTCCAATCTATGCTGTTTTGCTATCAATCAATCTTTTAAAGATGATGTTTTCATAGCTAATGAAAATATTTTACATGCATTACATACATTATTTCTTGATTTTGTCTGAAAATTCAGTAACAGCATAGTCAAACAAAATGATCAACACACATACACATTATAGACACAAGGAACTACACTAGTAGCTAAATGAGGTTCCACGAAGCAAAGGAAATGAAACTGCTCCTGCCCCCCTCCTCAGACCCAACTGGCTTTTCCACCCATGCAATCGCAAGACCATATTAATTTCTCCATTATACCTATGGTCAGTGCTTTATATGACACAGTTAACAGACCAATTAAAGATGTGGCGACAGATTGCCAGATGACATAACAGAAGGAGGTACAAAACAGAGAATACAACAAATACTCAAACTTTGAAAATGTATTGATGAAGCATAGTATCCATGGGAAAGCCTATATGCTTCATACTGTCAGTCAGCAGGATGTCAATTAGATATCAATCCAGGTTTAATCAGGAGTAATCATTTTAAAGTAATCTGTACCTTCTCCACAACTTGGTATGTTCCTGATCAGTGTAAGATTTAAGGCACTCAGATATGCGGTCTCCAATTTTTAGCAAGCAGGTCCGAGTGTGTTCCAGCTGCTCCGGAACAGCCAGACCTTTGTCCGGTTTATCCAGCTGCTTCAGAGCTTTTTTTACTGGCCTCATCCTCTCCTTGCACTAAAGAACGAAAACACAGCAAACAATAACTCAAATGTTGTGCCAAATATTCAATTTAACAAGCAGAAATATACCATGAAATGTGACACATTTTACCTATACATCCCAAAAAATGTAGTATGGTCCCAAAACAGATATACGTTATAACATTTGCTAGTATGCTTATCAAGGTAAGGTGTCAATTAGTAATGTGGAAAGAGCAAAACTGACAAATACTTAAAATTAGGGATGCACAGATACTTTTGTACCAGTGCAGATACTTGGCATTTTCATGAGAACTACCAAGGTTGCAGTGGGGACCTGGCTCTGGCACTCCATTACTGTCCCGAAATCATTAGTCTGTATTGTTTTAGAAAATCTGTCACATGACAATAAACAAAAATGTATCAGTACTCTTACTTGTAAGTACTCGGCAAGTACCAGTACTCGCAAAACTGGTATCTGTGCATCCCTTTATTTATATTTATAAAAACAAAATCGTACATTAAAACAGAGATGTACAAATCCCGGGAGCTCCGTGTGCTCCTTACAAATGACAGCTGCCTCCTAACTTTTGAATTTCTCTCTAGTCTAGTCTTGGAGCTCAAAAGTATCGGTACATGTACTCGTACCGAGTACTGTACTTGGTATCTGTGCAACCCTACTTAAAATGGAAACTGAAGGTGATCTTTACAGCAGGCCATACAACTACAACAAGGTCTGTAAAGTATGAAATCCACAGAATACCCTAAACTTAACCAAACATGCACAGCTGCAGTTCGTCAGTAGAGGGCATCGCCAGTTCATATTGGCACATTCAGCCAAATAAAAGGTGAAATATGAAATTCCCTCCCCAACCAAATGTTGATCCGCCATGGTCCTCTCATGTGACTGTATGTACCCTAATCAATAACAGACTGTGCCAACACTGTTTTTTTATCTTGTTGCCTGAGTATGTGAAATGTAAAAGCTGAGCCCTTTGTGGTGACTCCTCTGTATAGATTTATGAGCCTAACTGTAATGTTAGCAGTCAGAAAAGGTATGCATGGATAAATGGTTTCTTACAATACTGAATGTTTCCTGGTCCAAGTCATCATCTTCTTCCTCTCCAATGGGAACTGGCTCATTTCCTGCTGTAATGTGGACTGGTCCCTGGTTCTTTTTGCTCCGGCTACCAGACTTGCCTTCACCCCGCTTTGGCTTTATTGCAGAGAAAATGCATTGTCATTATGCACATTCAAACAAAGGATTACAAATCAAATAAAAATCAATATACCAACAGGTAGCCTATAGACAGTGTAAAGAAGGAGACACAAGACATTACACAGGCCGACTTATTTACATTGATCATGCAAATAGCTTGTTGCATATCAGTGTTTTCTGATGGCAAGGTAAAGCATTATGGCTAGCAAACGTGCACCATTTGTTGAATGGGGTGGAATTCAAAAGTCCTAATCGTATAAATAAGCTATGGTAGACTACCAGGAAAGTAGTAATCAGCTCAACTGACTTCTACAATGCCAGGGCTGAACCACAGCAGTCAGTGGTGCTAACTCTCTTATTGTCTGGGTTTGTTGTTTAATGTAAATATGGAAGGTGGCCCAGACTAAGAATCCCACCATTAGAGGAAATTCCATAAGCCACGTGTGAGCTCTACACAGCTTATATAAGGCAGAGCTTAGCTGTATATTATACCTTGTCCTTTGCCTTCTTCTTTTCTTTGGCTGCATCCTTTTTTTGGTTCTGTTTATCCTTATTTTCTTTGTTATCTTTTTTCTTTTGCTTTTTCTTGCTTGGACTCTTTAGTGAGCCATCCTCCTGCAAAAAAGCCCAAAACATCCATATTTTGAACAAATATATGAACAAAAAAAATTAAAAATAAGAATGTTTCCCTAATACGTTATTAAAGTGATTTCAATTAGTCAATTGGCTCCTGCTTCAAGAAACAATTTAGCTGAGGCAAGAGAAATGTCTAGCTGGGTAGTAAAAGGAGATTGTTGTACTTCCTGCAAAATGCCTCTCTCTTTAAAGTCATTGTGAGACAAGGTGGTAACTCCTGCAACTGTTAGGAAATGCTATTAGAAACAGCCTGGGAGAAATAGGATGCAAAATGGTGCTAACAAAACTAGGCGTGTTGAATTGTGGTGTAGAGTATTACTTGAGTGACAGGAGGCACCTTCCAGTAGTACAAATCTAGTTGGAGTACCCCTGGTTTGAGCCTCAGGTCTGGGAGCCCAAAGTCGCCAGAGAATCTCAAGCAATAGGTGTATGCCAAATGACGGTTGGGAAGTGAACCATAAAGTCCTATAGGTATTAAGCCAGCGGTTCTCAACCTGTGGGTCGCAACCCCGTCGGGGGTCAAATGACGATTTGCCAGGGGTCGCCTGAAGACATCCGAACTCTCCCGGACGCTCCGGGAGTCTCCCGCTATAAGATAGCGGCTTCAGGCCGCCTGGGAGAGAATCACTTTCTCCCGGAAAGGTTTACTTTGCTTTGTTTTTTTTCTGACATCGGGGCCGTAAGAGTCATACCAAAAAAAAACACTATATACATGCATAGCTAGACTCCTATTGGCTATTTCACTTTGCAATAGCCAATAGCAAACTAGCTATTGCACCCACCCACTGCTGCTGCCAATCAGCAGAGGGGGACCTGAAGTTCTCCATCAGGTCCCCTTCTAGTGATTGACAGCAGCAGAGGGTGGGTGCAATAGCTAGTTTGCTGTTAGCTATTACAAAGTGAACTAGCCAATAGGAATTTAGTTATGCATTCCTATGCTGTTTTTTTTTATTCTGACGGCATACGCTTTACGTTACATAACGCGGTTCTAACTATTAATTAAATTTGTTGTCTCCTTTAAGCAGTGGTTCTCAACCTGTGGGTCGCTGTGTGATTTCTGCTGTGCTAGGTGAGAGTCCTCCTCAGCCATCTCCTAGCGCAGCAGTGTCAGTTCTCCCGCCACGCCGCCAGATGTCGCTGCAGCAGCCGCGCCATCCCTAAATTTTAACGTTGGGGGTCACCACAACTTGGCAAATGTTACCAAGGGGTCCTGGCCCTAGAAAGGTTGAGAACCACTGTATTAAGAAAAGGCTATGTTACATCTAGCACAATAGTAAAGACCAAAGGTCAGGTACAGCACTCCTATAGACATGTACCCCAGAGGTAATGTTGTGTTCCCCAACATTAGGACTCAACTGTTCTAGGATCTTCAAGCAGTTAAATAATAATCAGCTGCAAGTAGAAATATGCTATGAATTAGTAAAATGAAAATCGCCTATGCTGCTTTACAGAACATTACAAGCTCTGTGTCCTTAGATAAATGGATTATGCTTCTGTATTACAATCCCCATCATTCTTATCTTGACTCTAGTACTGGAAACAACTGGCCACTTTCATTAAGCCCATGATACCAAGCTCACCTTGTTGTCGCCATCTTCTGAATGGTTGTCAGAATTTCTGGGAGAAGAGATTTCTTTGCCATGCTCATCTTTAGCTTTGCCTGCCCCCTCTTTCTTCACACGTGGCCGCCTTTTCTTTACCTTTACCTAAAACAGAAGGGTCACAAATCAAAAGAAGCAAAACATTAAGAACTGTACAAAAAGGTATCTACACCTACATATATCTTCAGTGAGTAAATAACTATGTGCAGGAAATGTTTTTCCCGCACTTTCACACCTGTAGTGGTTTCTTTATTCCCCATTTTTCTGTCCCATCTTGTTTCTCTGGGTGTTGCTTGGGGGTGATGGGGATATATGATTAAGAGCTCTCCTACTGTATTTTTTCTGAGTATGTTTAGTGTTCGCTACATATTATTGTGTTGCTCATCGTAACAATTTTTGTTCAATGCAGTAAAATGTTTCCATCTTATTGTGCCAGAACTTCTAGTACATTGGACATATTCTTTGTTTATTTCTTGTTCAGTCATTGTGTATTTACTGATTTTGTATAAACTGAGTAATATATCTATTTATGTATCTTGTTGAATATCATGTATAATACCTGTGAAACCATGATTACAATTTTGGAACTGCCATTATGTATGTTCTATATGCTTTTTATGTATCGATCTTATTATCTATATGGCTCTTATATTTTCTGCATTTGAGCTACTTGCTTTGTAGGTTGCCACCTTTGCCTACCTCAGTGTGGGGCGGTTTTATGTGCTCAGTATCTGGCCGGGAAGATGCTTTCCATCCAGTATGGGGACATATTCTGGTCCCCCTCCTCCCAGGTTGTGCGGGCATTGTTGTTCTTGGAACGACTGGCACCTTTTGATCCCCCGCCCCTGTAACATCCCATTGGGGTGGTACTGAGCTCTCCATTGGGGGGGAGTGTCCCTCTAGCTCACCGCTCATTGGCTGGAGGGTGGGACACTCTAGGAGGTCACATGACCACCTACGTCAGACGCTGCCGTTTATATGCCCGCATGGCACCGCCGGTATCTTTAGTGAACGGCTGGAGACGGCCTCACTTGTACCGGCGGCGTTCGGTGTGGGAGGGTGACAGGAGGTTGCCCTGAGGCTCCATCACGCTAAATCCCCCCTTTTTGTCACGTGTCCTTTCATTGGTGACAAACGGCCCAGAGAGGTAATCTGCATCTCCTACAACTTTAGATGGGAGTTAGGGTTCTCCTCAATAAAAACATGCCATATATCCATGTAAACTTTTATCCCTAGTTGTTACTCCGGGTATCTATATCAATTGAGGGGCGTTTGTGATCTATAATGTTTGGTTGGCTTAGTATGGGGGTCCCTGCGGTATAGCTTCCCTTTTTCATATATATCCTATATATCTGTTTGGCTTATTGATAGGTGGATCTGTTGTGGTTATGAGGTAATTTGCCTCTCCCACTATACTACTAATACCCCTCGGTACAGCCTCTGACTCAGGTGTCCATCCTCCCTCACCCTGGGAGTATGTGTCTCCCCGGTTCATCCGGCACGCGGTGTGTGCACTCGTTGGCTTCACACTGAAGGGGTAAGAATGGTTGGCACCTCTTAGTAATGATGAATCTTCTAATTATGACATGTTTTTGAGGATTTATTATTTATGTCTTTTTTTCTATGATCTTCAGATCACCTCCTTCTCCTGATGAAGCGCCTAATGGCATATTGTTATCACCCACTATTTTGGCTCCAGGTAAGGCTTCTACATCTCTAAACTATGAATGGGATTGTATTCTTCTACTTTTATATTCTTGTCTAGTTTATGTACATCCATCTATTGTATCATGGTATTATTTAGTACAATCATGTTATCACATTCTTTTATCATGTTTAGTATGACCTTCATCTTGGAACCTAGTGGGTGTTAGGAGGTTTTCTCCCTTTTATGATATGCTATCAATTGTGATGTTTTTATTTTTTGTACTGGATTATAATAAATAACTTATTTTATCAAATCTTGTAGTTCATTGGACTTGTCACTTGGTGCCTCAAAAACCCCACTTTTTTCTCTTCTTGCCATAAGAACTGTACAAATGTGCAAGCAAATGTAGATAGAGGAAAAAACAAAAAAACAAATCCAGAAACAACAGTGTTACTAAGGACACTGAAATAATCTGAAATGTCAACTTCAAACACCATGTCAATCCAGCAGATACAAACCTCATCGCTCTGACCACTCTCCTTTTTCTCCATTTCTTTTTTCAGAATTTTCAGCAGATAGTCTGCTCTGGTCTGCAAGTGTTTCGCTTGTGGTTTCTTCTCTGTTTCCACTGGCAAGATCTAGACACAAAAATATCAGTCATGCACTTAGAAATACTACATATAAAAGGTAGACTACAGCTTGACAAACATATAAGAAGTTGTTGGCCAATATGGACAAGTTAACACTAGTGGTATGTGTACCTTAGCAGGTACTACTGTTTGTTAACATATATTAACAAGAAATTGAAGTTTAAGCATATAGAAACATTTGTTTATTTTATAAAATAAAATTATGTTTGCAAATATAAACAATTAGGATGTGTAGTAATAAATGTACACACATCAAGGGGTAGTTGGTATTTATTGCCTTTTTTGAGGTGGTACATATTTTAATACATCACCAAAAGGCTAATGTTAACACAGAAAGGGATACTTTAAAATTGTTCTAAAAACAAGCCAGTACCTTATCAGCCAACTGTAATTCTGGGTCACTTTTGATGAGCTCCCAGTTTCCATAACCATGTTCAACAATTCCCAGAAGTAATCGAGAATCTTCTTCTACAGTCCAATCAACATCAAAATGAGCAACTTTGATCCGACTGGACAATCTGAACCTGACAAAAGGAGGACAAAAAGGAGGAGAATGGATAAAGTACATTGGTATAAAGCAAAATACATGATACTAAGAGGGTATAAATGTGGTAGTGTGTTCTCCAGTACTAGGTTCTAAGCAACACCCATTTGATATCCACAGCCTAACCTGCTTCATGGCCATTATAACAGACAGACAATTTAGAGGCAACCAAGGACTAAAGTAGGCCTCAAGCACATGTCCACCATACATATAACTTGAATTTGTGGAAGAACCAATGTATCTTTTTCGCCACTCAAACAGTGCTACTTTACTACTAGACTACAAGTGTGTTTTAAATACATTAATATAGGGCCATACTTTATATTATTAGGCATGGTAAGCCACACTTACAGGACCCTAGTCATTTACAAGGACAAAGATGGGAGATAAGAGCAAATATAGAGACACAACAATTACTTACTTTTTCTTTTCTTCTGCATCTTTAGGAATGGCTTTGTTGAGAATCTCAAAGTCTTCTTCATGTTGAATAATTGCTTTCACATTTACTTGGACACCAGAAATTTTTATAGTTGGACCTCGTCTCTTGCCTGGACCTTTCCCTGAAAAAGAACAAGTATAACAATGTGATTTTCAGCAGAGTGGCTTAGTGGTTAGCACTTCTGTCTTGCAGCACTTAGGATTCCCTGTTCATATCCTAGGCAGGACACTAGCTACAAGGTATTTGCATGTTCTCCCTGTGCTTGTGTGGATTTCCTCAGGGTATCCTGGTTTCCTCCCACACTGTAAAGACATGCTGGTAGGTCAATTGGCTCCTGTCTAAATTGCCATCATATGTATGCATGTGAAATAGGGACCTTAGATTGTAAGCTCCTCGAGGGCAGGCACTGATGTCAATGTGCAGTATGTAAAGGGCTGTGTAAATTGTCGGCGCTATATAAATACCAATAATAATAAACAAACATCTGGTTATATACACAGGATGGTATTCAGATATTACATTCCATAAAGTTATGTAAAGCTACGACTTCTCAGGAGTTTATAGATTGGATTACCATTTTTTGAATCAGGAAACCTTACTATGCTTTATCAGAGGGAATTCTCCCAATTTTTGTAATTTTTTTTTTTTCTCCCAAAAAAAAATTAAGACACTGCAATCAATTCACAAGATGTATATAGTGTAATAAAGTTGCAGAAGTACCATCAGTTGGATTCTCTTTCAACTGCTCCTCAAACTCTTGCATCGCTGATGTGCAGCTAGAGTGCAGTAACTCTCCCAGTCTCTTTAGATCCGCCACCGACTTTTCAACAAGCTCTGCATCACGTGCAATGCATTCCAGCCTGAGACCAAAGGCAGTGGGAAATCATTATATTCTGAGCAAGCAATCCTGTACAAGTTTAGAGACAGAGGATGCTAAATTCAACATACCTTTCAAGTGGAGTCGGAAACTTCTTGTAGGCTTTGATAAACCTAAAATAAACAAGTTATTGAACAAATGATCCCAGGCAGCAAGTAAAAGCATTATGTAGGCTTGAAAGTAAAGCAGGATTTAAGGCATCTACTATAATGAAGTGTGAATATACACACAAGCTACACCACAGTACAATACAAACCACATGCATCCCTTTATACCTGCGTATCTCTACATCTGTAAATCCCTCCACTGTGTCTTTCCGAACACTGCGAGGACGGCCTCTGCGCTTGGGTTTTCTATCATCGTCAGAGTCATCAGTTTCACTGTCTGACCCAGAGGACCTTTGGGCCTTCTGTTTCGATTCCAGGTCAGACTCACTGTCATTTGCCTGTGCCTGCAAGAGAGAGTCAGCATCAATTTGCTTTAAGGGTCTTTATATTGTTTTGCGGATAAGTGCACATTATATACACATTCTGTACAAACAGCCCATTAAGACATCAGAACAAGCTGTTTATAAAGTCTAACCACAGTTCAAAAGCGGTCTATTCGGTCCAGCCTCTCTCATTGCTTCTAAGCCACAACCTCTCATTTTCTGATGACGGTTTACCTGATAGTGAGGACGTTTTTCAGGGGTGACTGTGGCATTTGTTCATTATGAACAACCTACTTTTTACCTAGGTATTTGTATGCCATCAACCCCTGCCAGTCTGTGTCCTCTACAATCTTCGCCCATTATTGTCTATATAACAGTGGTTTTTGGAGTACTGTAAGGATTTTTGAAATGTATGCAGCTTAACATGCGGACACCTTTTAACACTAAATTGTAAACCCTATTTTAGACCCAGTGATGTCATCACTGGAGCTCTATGTTTCTTGTAGTTGCAATGTAGATAGGTCATGGCTGGTAGGAGGGGCCAGCAGGGTACCACACATAGCCCCCTGAAAACACCCTGCCTCAGCACTTTTCTTAAGAGGCCTCAGCCTTGATGCAAGCAGTGGTCTGGCACTTGGGAGGAGTTATTCAAATATCAAATGCCTTGATGGGTGAATGTCAGTCTATAAGGTGTGTGTGTTCCTAGGCAGCCTGCCTTTGCCCTAAAGACTGCCCTAGCTAACAACCATATGTGTGATGCCAAGCCTCCATATTTGAAAGAACTGAAATCAAATGAATGAGGCAGACCAGGGACAGACAGGCTGGAGAAAACGGGGCTAGGTGATGCTCTGAGTCCTCCAGCCAGAAAATGATGGGCTTTTTTTTGTTTAAACTCTGTTTATCTATTTTGAACACATTTCCAAAAACAGTACAGATGCATAGAGTATAATACTAAAACAATTACAGATACACATGGCAGGCATTAAGCTGCAGTTCGGCGTAAAGAAATAACAGCATGATGTAGCCAGTACAGTACATAGAAAATAAACATGAGGTGACAATAAGCCCCTCACCAGTAGAATAGTGAAACGGATACCCAAAACAAAAACCTCCATAAAACCCATGTCTCTGGATAAATGCTCCCATATGCGGCCACACCGCGTGAAAGGGTGGGGAATGGGGAGGAGTAGAGAAAGAAAGAAAGAAAGAGAGAGGGAAGGGGAAAAAAGAGGGCTTAAAATAAAGAGAAAGATACATGGGAAGGAACAGGTGGTAGGGAGGGAGTAACGCCCCATTTTATCAAACACCCCCTGGGAGACCCCTGTAAGAAGTAGACCTAGCACCCGGCTGAACACAAAGTAAAATTAAGTAATCCATAACCCCCATCATAGTCTGGATTCCAGTTTGATCCTAAAACACATCAAAGACTAAGGAAGGGGAGAGGCTACTATCTAAATGAATTCAGGTAGACAGGATGGAAGAATACAGTGTACACACACCGATTTGAAAATTATCCAGCTACACCATATTTTTTTTTAAATCTCTCAGTTCTATTTCATTTCAAGAGCATTATTTTCTCCATCTCCTGGACAAAGTTCACTTGGTTCACCCATTCTCTAACTGTTGGTGAAAGAGTGATCTCCAGTGTCTGGGGACTACTACGGTAGTAGTGTTAATCAAATAGGGCATGAAGGATTTGTTGTATTTGGAAACAGAGCCTGTCTGTCATTAGAACAGGAATTCCTTTAGTTTATAGGGCAAGTTTTCCCCAGTAAGTATAAAAAGAAGAGTGGACTGCCTTCCAAGAGGGTTGTATCCCCAAACAAGTCCAAAAAAATGTGGAACATTGAGCCTGTATGAGAGGAACGAAGAGGGATACAACCATCGTATTTGTGCAAAATATTGGGAGTCCAACATCAGTGTGAAAATAATATTAAAGTCTCCTGAAAGCAATTATTTTGTGAACTTGAGAGTCTGGACACTTTTTTCTTGCCACTGCTCTTCCAAGAATGTCATGCCTTTTTCAGCAATGTGAGTTACTGTAGCTCTTCTATTGGATCGGACTGAAAGGGCCAGTCAACGCTCCCCACATACATCAATGAGCCTTGGCCGCCCATGACCCTGTCATCGGTTCACCAGTTTTCCTTTCTTGGATGACATTTGGTAGGTCCTGACCACTGCAGACTGGGAACATCTCACAAGAGCTGCAGTTTGGGAGTTGCTCTGAGCCAGTCATCTAGCCATCACAATTTTGCCCTTGGTCAAGGTCGCTCAAATCCTTATGCTTGCCCTATTTTTCTCCTTGCAACACATCAACTTCAGGGACAAAATGTTAATTTCCTGCCTAATATAGCCCACCCATTTCCAGGTGGCATTGTAATAAGATAATCAATGTTATTTTATTCACTTCACCTGTCAGTGGTCATAATGTTATGGCTTATCGGTGTATTTGCTCACTGAACACCTTTGTGTGGAGAGGAACTTCTTGTTATATGTAAAAACAATTAAAGTGCCACCAAGTTAATGTGGAAAAGCATGTAGACTAAAGGTGCCCATACACCTGCCGATTATCGTACGATAATCGCGGGAAATCCCCCGATAATCGGCAGGTGTGTGGAAGGCGTGCGACCGTTTCTACTGTACGGTCGCGCGTCTTTTGTCTTATGAGCATGTTTGAAAACAAGCCGAAAATCTTATGATTTTCGGCGGGTTTGTGGCGCGCTTGTAAGACAAATGCAGCAAGCCCACACTGCCCGTTCAGCATTGCAGTCATCGGAAGCCTGCCCCTCAGCGTGGCGGGCATGTGATGATCGCAAGTACGATCTGCCTGTCCAAGATGGGCAGATTGTAAGTTTTTTTAATTACCTTACAACCAGCGCAAGACAAAAGTCTTGCGCTGGTTGTAAGGTGTATGGCCAGCTTTAGTATATAGAGCTTTGTTCTGTTCCAGGACAATGTATTAATTAACATGTGTACTTTTACTGTCGTTCCAACTGTCAGAAGCAATCTTAATTCAAGAATTCACAGAAAGCAACTGAGCAGACCCTGCAAGTTCAATAATAATAGAGATACTCAATGACATGAGTGTGACATTATCATATTAAAACAACCAATAAAAGAGAATGTTGTAAATAATATATACTCGGTTACATACATTTTGCACGGGTCTTAGAATTATTCTGGTTTTGACTGGCAGGACCCGCAACACTTGTGACTCAGGAAAGGTCATAGTGAGCTTAACTGGCATTTTGAATGTTTTCTGCAATAGCTAAATTACCGTATGCCTCTTCCACACACAAACAGATATGAGTCTAATATAAATGTTTTACACAATGTTACTTTGCACATGTAAGTCTGAGCGAAGCTTTTGAATGTGTCAGCTCCTACTTACCTTTTTGTTCAAACTTCGAATCCTGGGAAGCATGTAAATCTCTTCCAGCTCTTTCTGACGCGCCTCTTCTTCTATCTTCTTCCTCTGGTCCTCAGGAATAATATCATCCCAATCTTTTTGGACTCGGTTTTCCAGTTCAGGTTCTTCTTCCATAGTTGCAAAGTTAGCCACCTGAAGAAGAATCATCAACAATAAACACCTTTATTTAGCATAACATAATAACAGAAAGTCTGCAAGTTCCTGTGGGCGATTACATTTCTATATATAAAGATAAATGTAAAGTATCAAATAACATACCTTAAACTGAGAAAGCAACTCATCAGTGGCACTGGAGCTTGGCTCATTCTCTCTGGTCTCTGCCAGCCGTAAAATCTCATCAATGTCCATTTCCTATTAGTAAAGAAAGACGAATAAAAGAAAAAAAAAAAATCACAAACATTTTGTAGATTCCAGCTATTATTTTTTGGAAATTCTATAAACAGAAAAGTGTGGGTTCACAGTGTCTACCACTTAGTGACACAAAGCTAAGCCGAGTACAAAGGGGTAAAGCAAACTTTTTCTTAGGGTCCAACCTGCTACAATCAGAGGTCTTCTGTCTCCCCTGATTTATAATAGGAGAAATCCTAACGATTGTTAAATAGATTGAAATGCAGCGTGTTACTGCAAACTTTCTTATGACCTCAAATATGATCTTTCTTGTGTCATTGAGAAAGGGGTGTCACAATTTGAGATCATTTCTCAAAACGTATTATAGAAAACGTCTCAGTTCGGCGCCATGATGAGCATTACCTGCCACAAGAAGAGCAAACATTCTAACCATTACAACACTACTTTAAAGAGTTCCAGTAACAATTATGCTCAAGAATCTAAATAATCAGTTCAAAATTATAACTTTGCAGACTGCTATAACAGTGCATTATCAGCATGAGGTCAGGCGTTTCTATTTATTTTTGGGGCAATTTTCCTTTAAAGTGAACATGACCTGGTCTAAAAAATGGGGCTAGGTAACAACGCTGCTAAAGTCCAGTGGCAGAGTACCCATTAGTCTTAAAATTAATCCTCCTCCTGGTACTAAGCTAAACACCATCTAACTGCCAAATGACAGAACCTCTACTGCGAATAAACAAGAGATGGCAGGGGTAATTACCACGAGGGCCAGGGCTTAATCTTGAATTTGAGGCCCTCTATGCAGACTAGCCCTAGGATGCAAAGTGCTCCAAAGGAAATAATATGAAGGCTAACACAGGTACGTGCAGGCACCACGCTTCTTGGTAAGCTGGACAGTAGGGGTAGGATTTAGCTGTGGGGGGTACACAGCTCAGCTTCATATCATACAGAAGCTGATAAACTGTCTATAGCATGCACCTGGGATTCAGAGTCTTGTTGGGTACAAACAAAAAAAAAGGAGGTTCCATTTCAGGTTCCATTTATAAAATCAGTGTGCTGGATTAGAAGGGTCTATAAGCAATCCTACAGTGCATTGCTCAGTGATACAAGGCGATCACTTACATCTTACACAGACATCTAACCTGAGGTTCTGATTCCTCTCCTTCAGGTTCCTTAAAGAGGTCTGCTGCTCCGAACTTTAAAATCGCCGCCAATTCATCTTTGTTAAATGGATTGGAACTACAATAAGAGACCAAGATCAGTATATATAATAAAAGATGACTTCACTAGATTCACTGCCATTCCCTTGTTCTTACTTTGAACTTCCAGAGTTGTTTTCCAGCACCGTTCGACCAGTGGTGTCCATTCGCTGGATTACAAGATGATCAAGAACCATTTTTTTCTTTGCCCGTTCTATAATCTCCTCCTCGACAGAGCCCCTAGTAACAAGCCGATAAATGTTTACCTGTATAAAACAAGTTTAATGTGTAAAAATATTATATAATATGAGAACGCAAACCAGATTTGACAAAAATGGAAAGATAAACTTTAAAGTGACACTAAACTCAGGAGTTAAATCTTAAAAATGTATTTAAGTACCCCATCAACAAAATAGTTATTTGTTGATCATCCTCAAATCATCTCTGAATTGGTGCTGACACTGTTCTTCCTTGTGGAGGGTGACTACTTTTGTTCCCCATGGTTCCCGTGTGTGTTGTACTGTAGCCATCTCTCCAAGCTCACTCTTGTGCTGAACTACAATCTCACCTTTAGTTTACTTATTTCATAAGCGCTGTATTAAGATTGTAGTCCATCATGGGAGTGAGCTTGGAGCGGTGGTTACTTTACAGCACACACAGGGACCATGGGGTACACAAGTAGCCACCCTCCAGAAGGAAGGACAGTGTCAGCATGAATTCAGAGATGATTTGAGGATATACAGCCGAGGGATACACAAATAAGATACATTTTTGTTAATAGTTAAGGTACTTGAATGCATTTGAAAGATTTAACTCCTGAGTTTAGTGTCACTTTAAGTGTATAAAGCGCAAACGAGTCGCACAGCACATTACATAATAAAGGGAGATGGTACAGTTACAATATAATTCAAGGAAAGAGGGTTAGGAGGGCTCTGCTTGTTAGAGCTTACAATCTAAAAAGGGAATTTTATTCAATGGGTGAGTGGAAGCCAGTGGAGGGATTGGCAAAGGGAGGCGTGAACTAGGGCTGCAACAACTAATCGACATAATCGATTATAACCGATGATTGAAAAAGATGTCAACTTTTTCAATCATCGATTAATCGAACCTAATAATCGGCTAACTAATCGATTTTGAAAATAATCGTTAGCTGCAGCTCTAGCGTGAACACTGAATGGCTGATAAGTTGGCGGAGTCTGGCAGCACAATTTATGGTAGACTGAAGGGGGAATAGCATGTGTAAAGGTAAGCCAGTGAAGATGGAGTCAAGTAGGTTACAAACTGGTAACTTGGTGGTGTCATTGGTTAAGGAAGGGCATATTTTGGAGATGTTACAGAGGTGAAGTCGTCAAGATTTAAATAGAGATCGGATGTGGGACCTGAAGTAGAGGTCAGAGTCCAGGATTACACCTAGCACCCTAGCCTGAGGTGAGAGAATGCTAGTTGTGCTATTGTAGGATTGAAAAGCTGGGGCACAAAATATTATCTCAGTTTTGAAGAGATTGAGTTCTAGAAGTAGTGCAACATCCATACTGATATGTCAGTTAGCAAACTAGTGATCCTCACTAAAATCTCAAACAACGTTGTCCATCTGTACCCAGCATTCTTGTGATGGACTTCAAAACACCTCAATGTTATGGAGCTGAGAGGGAGAGTTGTTCTGTAGAACTCAGGCAAGGCTAAGTATACTGCTTGGGATCTCAGGCAGCACTCTCATCTTACAACAGGAAGTTAAGCTTTTACTAGATTTCTCAGAGGATTAACGGATATTTTTCTGTACTTGCAGCATGTTTAAAGATGTATATGTATTGCAGAGGCGTACCAAGTGTTTTTGTTATATTTTGCCTATACATGACATGTGACTCAACATGAACTTGTTTCATGATGGCTTCTATCTGACTCCTGACTCGTTGATAAGTGCTACTGCTACACTTGTGTATGGGGCTAACTTGATTCTATTGACATTTTCCTTCTGTAATAAAAACTGGTGTCTGTAAAAAGAGGCAACAGAGTGCCTAACTATATAACACGTTCACACAGCTAAATGGTAGCTTTCAATATGTTTTGCTCCAGTCATCCAACTACACACAGTGGTTAAAGGTGATGATACAGACTTGGCATTTGACAAAATTTATTGGCAACTCCATCTAGTGGCAAAAGAGCAAAACCAGGTTTGATATTTCCTTCCTATCGAGTGAAAGTTTATTTTTTGCTCTGAACTTTACCTATATATGGATATTCCAAAGATTTTATACTAGATATTACCATGCTGCTACTGCAAGAATAGAATGAATGTGCCATAACAGCCAAGCTTTTTTTCTGCAAACAAACCTGCTTCTTCTGGCCAATCCTGTGAGCTCTAGCCTGAGCTTGCAAGTCATTCTGAGGATTCCAGTCTGAATCGAAGATGACTACTGTGTCAGCAGATGCCAAATTTATCCCAAGCCCACCAGCACGAGTAGAAAGCAAAAAACAAAAATCCTAACAAAAAAAACCAACAAAGATTATACACTGAATATTTGTATTTGAGAATTTATTAGTCAATAATTGCATAAAATGTAAGAAGAAAAAAAAACTGCAAATATAAAGACTATGATCTATAAAGTGCACATGTAAACAAAACCAATGCCAACCTCACCTCTGAGCCTTCGGCATTAAAGTGATCCAGCGCTTGCTTACGAATCTCTCCCTTAATTGAACCATCGAGTCTCTGTAATAGAACAAAAATCTGAGGATGCTGCAGGAGAAACCCAGTATGAACAGATCATACCCTTAATGCTCATGGATTAAAAATAACCCGACTGCTGTGTGCAATTTGTGAACATACCCAGGAGATAGACACCCTGTGACTGGAGAGATCACTTTACAAAGCACTGAGCAACTCTCCTCGTGCTAAACATCAACAGTCACCCCCACAGTATGAGACTGTCATATGCACATGTAAAAGTCACTTACATTAGTGCAGCAGCTCCACAAAGCTGTACTACCTAATGTAACATCTTACGTCAATATAAAGCAAACCTCTCAGTCAAACAGACTTTTAAAAAGTAAAAGTCTTGTCTTAAAACCTCAGTGTTCCCTTCTGGAATTGGTGTTACTTTACTACTATAGGCTAGAATTCAGGCTAATGTAGGGTATACATGGGTAGATTTTAGAACGAACGTTCCTACAAAAAAATCCCGTCACAACATTCGATAATGCCATCAGAGACTTGGCATCTGTTCCAAATTTTTGTTTTATGTTCATTTAACATTTGATTTTTTAATTAAAAATTTCCCGATCGAAAACCACATTCACTGTTAGAATTTCCTTAGATGGAGAAATATTTGCCAACATGCTCCGATCAATTTTTTCATCACTGTGGTCGAAAAACGGATCATCAATTTGACCCCAACAACGATGGAGAAATATTTTCCAACATGTTCCGCTCAATTTTTTCATCACTGTGGTCAAAAAAACGGATCATCACTTTGACCTCAACAACAATTAGAAATCGAAAGATTCAAAATCGATTTTGTGCATTCAAAATTCTAACCGTGTATACCCTACTGTAGTCCTGACCAACCATATACTCTTGTCTAACCATGTCCTTACTGCCAGCTATAGAACATTTTAATTGGACGCAGGGATGGAAGGCGGGCAGGATGAAGTCAAAATTCCAGAGAAATCAAGCCCGCAGTAACAAGTAAAACCATTTGATTATCTAATTTTGAGAACACACATTTGCTGATAGGTGCAACATGACTTTAGTTCTATAGCTGTAGCAAATAAACACAGATCTTTATTTAGCAGTCACTCCACCTATGTATTTTGGTGTGCTGAACATTCCTGGGCTGTAGAGAGCTGCCCCTTCAGTATGGAATGTCCATTTCACTTTTCTAACTGCTATCATGTAAACCTGGGATACAGAAAAGCAAAGCATTTAAAAGGGACACTAATGTTGGGCAATAAAAGCCTCAGATTCAATACACAGATAATCAGATGGATGTCAAAAAAATTAGTAAGATCTGGAACATTTTATTATCTAGAACTAAAGATATCAAGATAGTCGACAGTGGTTTCAACACAAAATACCAATATTTTATATCAAAATAAATATACTATGTAAAATGTGCAGTAGAAAAGTGCAAATAGAAAACAATAAGTATTTTGTTTACCAATGAGGCACAATCTAAACATTTATTTCCTTAGTACAACGAAAGTACAATATTTACAATGAGACTCAAGTTGGGTATACACGTTTCATTTTCTTTGAGCAACCTGCTGGATGAATGCAGAAAATAGAACAGATTCCTCCATCAACACTTCTCCTGCTGATTCCTTTGTACTCTGACAGCAGCCGCCGGCCACTGTCAGAATGCCCAAACAGAGTTGGCAGCTCACTGACTGCTAGCTCTGTTCAGCTGACAATTTTCCAACATGATCCATCAATCAACTGATTGAAGGATGCCGGTCAGAAAGGTGCTGGCATCGGCACCCACACATCGAATTACGGCCGATTCATCAAGAACCGTCCAAAATTCAAAGCGTGTATATCCGGCTTTGAAGGACTTGCATATAGGGAGGGCAACAAAATCTTAAGGGCTCTAATAAAGTGTGAATGTGATGATTTGCCACTTTTCTCTGTGTATTTATTCTTTATTAGGTTGCTGTTCACTTGGTTTACAAAGCTTTATAGCCAATCTTCATTCACCAGTGCAATCTAGGGAAATGTCATTGTTTCTAATGGCTATTTGGCCAAATAAAGAAATCATCATTTACTTAGATCAGAAGATTTGCTCCACATTCACCACAGACCCCCTAATTCCTATGGTCCCCCGAGTTAATATATAGTGGGCATGTTGCCAGCAAATCTGCAGTGCATCTCGGCAGGCAAATTTTCCCGGATTTGACCAAGGTCTAATAAATAGCCCCCTTTGTATCTAGCTCTCCCCTCAATACCTTCAAACTGACACTGCAATTAACTTTTGAGGAGAATCCTTTTCATGGGTCAGGCCCCTGAAGACAAACTTCACTTCATTACCATATAGCGTAGTGACAGGTCACACACATTTCCCACATTCCCCCCTTCTCCATAAAGAGAGCATTGTACTGAGCCAAGCAGACATTTCTCTAACCTGAAATGGGTAGTGCTTTATGGTGAAGTACTCTGCCAAGATGTCCAACATGCGCACCATCTGAGAAAAGATAAGCACGCGGTTTCCTCTTTCGCGCAGTCGTGTCAACAATTTGTCCAGCAGAACAAGCTTTCCACTGCTCCTGATCAATGCCTTGAAGGAAAAAAAAATGCTGGTTGTGAAAAGTCTGTAGAGACCCATACAGAGAAAGTGAGTTACTACACTGACTAATAAAGATTAACCCGGTAAACATGGAAAAGGAGCCTAGAGCTCCTCTTGCTGGAAATGTAAATACCAGATGTTCCTCACCTACCGACTTACCTGTTTTGCGACCACTCGCAATTACGACGGACCGCCGATCGACCTCCGACCTTCCGCGTCAGCGTCAGTGCGACGGGTCGCCGGCGGAAGTGACATCCCCCGATCTTCACTGCAGGTCTCGGTAAGTATTTCCATTGCCGGATGTACAGTACACTGTTCGGTACTGTACATCAGCAACGCTATACAGTACTGTACTAATGCAGTATAGTACTGTATAGAGTTCCTCACTTAACGACCAATCCGTTTAACGACCTGGTCGTAGGAACGGAACTCGGTCGTTAAGTGAGGAATACCTGTATTATATATTCACAGATTATATTTCAGATTTAGCTGGGGGGAAAAAGTCCAGAAAATAAACTACATACAAAACATTACAAAATGTATTTTCAGTTTGTCCATATTTTAAGCTATATAGTGTTTATATGTTTGCTTTTATCTTTTAAGCTTGCTTATCATTTGAACTATAAATTGGCCCCTAGAGGAAGCTCTGTACCTCATTCAAACTTAAAGTTTATTGCTACTTTTGCAGGCAAATTTGAGGAAACCCCCCACTATATGTTTGTTATGTGTTTCTATACACACGAAATAACTAAACATTTTTAAAAATATATTTCTTACCTTTTAGATATATCTATTTAGCAAGCCTATGCAAGCTTTTCTCTCAATTTCAGTAACAGCAAACTCTGACTGTCCTAATAGAAAGACTAGGGACAGACTGAGCATCTCCTCATTCACATATACATGTAGAAATAGGGACACCGGCACTCCAGATGCAGATCAAATGCGTCTATTTATTGACGTAAATGCAGCATATCACACTGGTGCAACATTTCCCCTTCCTCAGGTAGAACATGTTCAGAAGTGTGATGGGTTTATGGACTTTTACTCATTCACATACAAGGTCTTCAGAGCTTTAACCCTTTGTTAGGACAGGCTGTCCCGCTCATCTAGTTTACAAGTGATAATGAAATCTGCCAGCACAGTACAGACAGGGTTAATATTTTGAAACAAAACTACCCCCAACCGCTCAAACAGTGAGAACTAATTAGGGTTTTTCAGTCCTGGAGTTAGCACAATGAACATCTATAAAAAGGTAAGCTGTCATTTTTATTTTTAGTTGTGCTTTGTGAATAGGATCATGCAACAAATATAAAGTAGATGTTATCCCAATTTGGCTGCACACATGGAAATATACTTTCAATTGTATTTCCACTCCTGCAGCCAAATTGGGATAACACCTACCTTATATTTAAAAATTGCTGCTTACCATTTTACTTGCTTACAAGTCCCACCCAGCTTTCCCCTTTTATGTCAAGTTAATGAAGGATCTGTGGAGTAATGGTAAGCAGAATTAACTCTTTCTGTATTGCACTGTCCGATCTCATTGTCAGTTGTATACTATATTTGAACACTAATAATAATAAATCAATAAGGTGCTGCATTCATACCCCTAAATGTTTAAATAAGCTAACGTGATACTTATGTATAACCCTGGTATGATACCATGTTGATTTGCAACAGATATATAAATCTTATCAGAAAGTCCAAAATGATTAATAGTGCAAGGATGACATATAAAGTGCAATTATCATAAGAATAGTCCACTTTAGATTGATATATCAATAGTGCAATAATATAAAAATTGTGCACCCCAATCTTATATGGGTATAGGTTCGAGTGATGTAGCAAAACAAAATCATCTGTGCTCCTTGTGACTTTCACCTTCCACTCCCAATAGAATAACTCTCACCTCCAGAAAAAACCTTACATTATAAAAGGTCTGATAAACACCTATTCCCATTTTCAATCTCGGGCGGGGAGAAACCTAATTTTAGCAATGAACAGATCCTCCTCCACTCTGCGGCTTGCGTTTGTAATTATCTCCAATGGTGACACACTTGCTATGCTCCCACTCAGTTTAAGGAATTTAGTTAATGGAGACAAAAATGGGAAACTCCATGGTGTACTCCATGAACCACATTAATATTTTAATAGGATAAAATGTACTCACAAACAATAAAAATGCATCCAAGTCGGATAAAATCTCCCAATACAGATTGCAGCGCTGCCGTTTGTCGGTATACTTCCAGACGCCTTCCATGATGATTATTGCACTTTATATGTGATCGTTGCACTCAGGGCGTAACTAGAAATATCAGGGCCCCATAGCAAAAATTTTGTAAGGCCCCCCCACAACGAAACCCCCCGCCCCCATTTTAATAGATATATGCTGATAAGCACGTTTTTTAGCGTTTTTAATTGCGTTTCAGAGCTGAAACGCGACTAAAAACAACCAAAAATGCTCTTTCAAAAATCATGCGGAAACCACGGTGAAACGCTTCCGTCCTGGTGCGAATGGCGCCTGAATGAGGCCTAACACTTTACTTTAATACTGCCACACCAATGAGAGGCTGAGGAAAGGGGGATTATAAAAAAAATGAAGGAACGCTAAACTGTAAATAAGCGATTTATGTTGTAAATGGTTTTTGCGCTGTGTTGGTGTTTGTGTTGTGATAAAATGATACAGGCGTATATTTAATTACAACACAAGGTATCACAACGCACGGCAATGCGTCACAAAGCTTTGCCATGCGCTGCCACAGTTAAATTAATGTTTTTTTACAAGAAAAAAATCATGCACTGCGATGTGTTCTAACAACGCACTGCAGAGCCTGTGCCTGGCGTATACCACAATATGGTGCACGTGTATGTTATGTGCGTGGGGGGGAAAGGGGGGTTGTGCTTTTAAAAAAAAAAATTATTTACATATTTTTTTATTATTATTTTACTTTTGGGGGGGCTTCGGGGAAATATTAGGGGTCTAAACAGACCCCTGACATTTCCCTTTTGAAATAGAAAAAGACATTGAGGACACAGAGTCCTCAATGTCTTTTTCTGCAGCCTCAGCACTCAGTGAATGGGAAGCACTCAGTACAGAGGCTTCCCACTCATTCAAGACATTTACTATCAAGCAGATTCTCAATGGGGAAAAGCCTCTGTACGGAGTGCTTCTCCCCATTGAGAAATTTATGAATGAACAGGAAGTGATGTAAATCACCTCCTGTTCATTCATAACTGGGGACACACAGTACTATGTGTCCCCAGTTATTTACAAACACTGTGCTGCACACGGAGGATTGGTAAATATCAATGATACTTACCGATCCCCTGCTCGGCCACGCACAGAAGCCGCTGTCATGATGATCGAGCGGCAGGCGGGGAGGAGAGCGGAGCCGCTGTCCTCCTGTCAGTTTCAGGACAATAGCGGCTCCTCCGCCATCCATTTTTTTTTGGATCCCCGCTGCCTCAGCCCATAAAAGCGGGGGAGAGCAGCGGGGATCCGGATCCCCCCAGTGCCGCGGGGCCCATAGCGGCCGCACCGGTCGCTATGGTGGTAGTTCCGCCACTGGTTGCACTTCATATTGGACTTTCTGATAAAGATTTATACTGTATATCTGTTGCAAATCAGCACGGTTTTAGAAGAGGTTTATACATAAGTATCACGTTAGCTTATTTAAACATATAGGGGTATGAGCGCGGCACATTATTGATTATTATTTGTATTCTGGATATTATTACTGGAATTAGTGCCTGCTGCTTATTTAAGGAGCTGAGCGAGAAATTCTGAATGAGATTTTTAAACACTGTCGGTTACAACAATGATTTAAAAATCTCAAGTCGTGAATGTCAAAGCACTTTTCCTAAGTTTGTCCCTCTAATTGCATTTTGAAATTGTCCAGAATAGCTTGGAGTCCTATGTATAAACCTGCTTAGAAGAAGCAACTAAAAAGATAAGATTTTTTTTTATTATTATTATTTTTAGATATTATTATTATTTTTAGATATTATTATTTTTAGATATGCTGTGTGAATGGGAATACATACCAAACATATAGTGGAGGTTTCTCAAATTTGACTTCAAAAGTGGAAACATACATTAACAGATATTAAAATAAGATATCATCTGCACAAAGAGAGCATTGCTTTCATTTGGAGCAGTAAAGCCCTACCATACTGTATCATTGTGAACCAGGATGAGAAAATGTCCAGAGGTGTCTTAAATATTGCTGACAGTTACTGCATAGAAAAACAAATGTGCTTCCATTTTTCATTCACTGACCTGCAGTCCATCTAGTCTGCTTTGTTTCTCTAACTCATCTGGTAGCTTAATGAGAAAACAGTGATTGCAGCACTTCTTCAGTTCCATTACAATATTGAGGAATCCAGATGTGCTGCCCTTTGTGCCTTTTTGCAATGCTTTATAGTTTCTGGTTAAAATCCACCTACAGCCAGGACATCAAAAGAAAGCCACTGTGAGGAAAATGCTCAAGGATGCATGCAAGCGTTGGAAATGCATTTATTTAACACACAGGTATCATTTATCTGTAAGACCATTTGCTGTAGTATGCTGAAATCAGACTTCCAGTTAGTAATTATGGACGACAGTACAACACAGTCCCCTGCACTAGTGTTGGCAGGCTTACTTGTAATACTGTTTCTGTAGTGCACACATCTCCACTCGCAGGATTTGCTCCACTTTAGCTGGTAAAGATTTCTCAACATCCTTCTTGACTCTTCGCAGTAGAAATGGTTCCAGGACTTTGTGAAGGCCGTGATAACCATTTTCTCTCCCTTTGCCATGGTCCTCCTCAAAGTCCTCCCAATACTCAAACCTAAAACCAAGCACAAGCATGTCACAAATATCGAAGATGCATTTCAGACATACACAATTTAGTATTTACCAAAAATAACAATCCTTATGAGAAGAAAAACACTTTAGATGTTCCCAAGCTGCGCTTATAAACCACATTTAAATGTCAGACATAGTGGTAAGGAGCGCTAGGTGTTATCATGTAGTACACAGCTTGGCAATTCAGTGTCTGAACCATGCTGGAGGGTTAAACTGCCTCATTATTTTTTCTCTTGGGGACCCTAGTAGTGAGATATATGTGCTTAGGTTGCCAGATCTGCACAACTGTTGTGCCAGCTATAAAGGGTTCTACTACTCCATTTGGAGTTTGCATTTATTAAATAAATAACATTAATTACAGAAATGACAACAGGATGAAGGGGAAGAAGTGAAGATTGGCAAAATACTCAAAATTTCAAGGCAGAGCGGTTTACAGGAAAGCTTAGGTCAACGATATATTATTGCTTAAGACTCTAAGAGATAGCGTCTTGGATGATTCAGGCCAACAACCTCCACTAACACTGTATTAGGAATATCACCTTTTGTTGGAACAATCCTTTACACAAGTTAATACAATTTTCTAAATCAGGTAAGCTATGCTTGGCTTTCTGAAACCGGAAGCTACGGTGCAGCAATGGTTTAGAAAGACAGGTATTGGGCACCTGCAAAAAAACAAAACTGGGAAATACAGGAGATAGTCAAGAACCACACAGGCCTCCTGAGCCAAAAATCAGTGCCAATTTGATTTAAAAACCAGCGAGGAATTTCTTACTTTTCTGGCATAATAAAGTGCAGCAGTGACCACAGTTCCTTCAGTGAATTCTGGAGAGGAGTCCCAGTGATCAGCAGTCTGTGGTTGGACTTGAAGTCTATAAGGGTCTTATAGAGCAAAGAATCATCATTCTTCAACCGATGAGCTTCATCAACTCCAAGAAAAGTCCAATTAATACTGCTCAACACAGCCTGCAGAGAGATGGATAATATGGCTCTATCAGATTACTTCTTGATGTGGCATGTGAAAAGCATACCCTAACGAGACTTCCACACAAAGTACTTGATTCTGTGTAAATTAGAGGCCTATTTACTCCACGCTAGACCCCCTAAACCTAGTGTAATCCTTTTCCATCAGTGAAGGGGAGGGAGCTAGACCAGGAACATTCCTTAAGGTGATATAACATTTTCATATTTGCTACCAGTTCATATTTGCAACAAATCCTAACCCATAGGTTACTTCACTTTAATAAACTATGATCAAATATTCAATATATGCACAGGATGTGGGCATCATCCAACACATGGGACATGACCCACTGATCATTTGGCTTAGCCAGCTTAGGGGAATTACACACACAACTGAGTTATCTACCTTGTCCTTCAGTAAAATTTCATAGGTTGTCAGTAGTGCGTTAAACTTCATTTTCTTGCTCTGCTGGTGAACCCATTCATACTCTCGTATCTAAAAGGGAAGAAGGTTTAGTTGTAGATGACTGAATTTGTACAGGTATGATGAAGAGTCCTTTACTGCATAGTTATGTCTGCCCATAACTTACTGTGTTTCTGCTCCCAACGTCTCCTATATAAACCACCACATTAATTTCAGGCGCCCACGCCTCAAATTCTCGCTGCCAGGAAGTCAGAGTAGATAATGGCACCACCAACAAAAATGGGCCATATAAAAAATGCTGGTAAAACAGGTATGAAAGGAAGGAAATGGTCTGAATAGTCTTTCCCAAGCCCATCTCATCAGCAAGGATAACACTGTTGTTCCTGTGACCACAAAAAAAAAACAGAAACATGCTTTAAAAACTCAGCCAGAAAGCAGGAAAAAAAAACAGAATTCATTCTTAAAGAAAAAAAATAAATATAAAAACGACATTGTTAGAAAAATTTAATTCAAAATAATGTAGTCCCTACAAAGAAGACATGGAATGCTCACCTCTCCTGGGGCCTACACTGACAATAAAGAGAAACCACTAGTGACGATCCTGCAGAATCAAACACATCCGAGAGTGTTGGACTCCTGGTCCCCACTGCATATTGTGGTTCCTCCCAACACTTACACAAGTGTCCTATTTCTTCAGGATCTGCAACCGGAGGATTCTCTTTATTACTGCAGAAAACAGCAGCATGGGCATCAGGACAGGTGTGTGTTGCATGTCTTTGCAGGGGCTACATTCTTCTTAAAATTCCTTAGCAGCAGCTACTTTAAAAAACTATTTTGAGCAACATGTAAAATGAATGCTATGCGTTCAGAGCAGCCACTGTGCTTAAATCATTACCATTAATATATTTACCTTAATCTGAGTTCAGTGTAATCCTCTGGAGGATACATACACTTGCCTCTACACAGGATCAGTAAGCCCCCTGAACACATCTTAAAGTATATGCAATCCGAAAAACAAAACGTATCTATTTAAGTTTACCAGTCCTAACATAAGGTTAGTTTTCTTTTGTTTCAGGCTTACTCCACTGTATTTATGTAGTAAACCAGGCTGCAGTGCAAATATGTCTTCTCCTCTCTTCATCTTAATTACATGGGGATGAGGATATTAGTTCTTTACAGAAGAAAGATAACATTGTGCTTTTTAGTTCATATCACAGCAAGTGGCAAGGACATTATTTCTGGCACACGTATGTTCTATACTTGCTGAAAATGTCCCTAGCCTGTTAAACTAAAACTAATGCAACAGCCACATCTAAGGACTTGTAGGCAGCAATATATTTACAATTTTGTTTTTGGGTTTAAGGTTTACATTTTCAGTTTTGGCAGACGTACCGTACCCCCTTTAAAGTCTTTTTTAGCTTTAGAGAGAGGGGAAGGATTAAAAGCCCCTACTAGTTTATTTTTCCAGACTCTGTACGATTGAGAAAATTACCTTTATTTTTCTGTCCAAGAACAGAAAGTTAGAGGAAATCCCCCCTCTATGACAGTTGTCCCCAACAGATTCCCCCTTACCTGTTCTGGAGACAGCTCCAAATTTTGGATTCCCCCTCACTTTGTTTTTGGGTGACAATGGTCATCAGTACAAATAGAAGGGTGAATCTCCTCAATAGGGATACCGGCAACTTAAAGGTTCTAACCCTCCCCAGTCTATCCAAAACTAAAAAAGGTTTTGCCTAGAGATAAACTTTAGGCTCAACAAAGTTCATTATATTTACAGAGTACATAAAGGAGTGGGAAGATTTAAAACAAAGAACTACAAACTCAGAAAACAACTGAGCAATACCTACTTGCACCACGAGTGAGCCAGCCAGTTCAGACCCTCCAGCTGATAGTCCCGGAGCTCAAGCCCTTCACCTCCAATGTAAGAAGGCTGTTTCTTCAATGTCACAAACCGGGGTCTTTGTCTCAGGATCTACCAAATGCACACAAACGGTAATCACTACTACAGAAAGCTTAAGATTTTACTATTGCAAACCAAAATCTGCATTCACTGTTACATAGAAAATGTCTACAGCATTATACAATCTTTCTTAAATAACATAACACCCTGTAACTGCAAATGTCCTGTGCTTTGCTTAACAACTGTTTTATGTTCATTGGTAGAACAAGACTGCCTTTTTAGGCACAGTCATGACCACTTGATTATATAAAACACATTTTTATTAAGAGATACACTAAACAAAATCGCCAAATTCTAAAAAAGTACTGGCATATTTTAGCGAATGACCCTGTCCTATTCCACTATGTAAAAAAATGTCCGGAAATTACATTTAGACGTGCGAAAACCTTTAAAAGACACATTGACTTCTAGTCATTACCGTCCATTAAAAGAAGAGATATCAACAAATAGGAAAGGCACACATAAATGTGGCATGCATGTCCAGTGTTCTTGGGTTCTAGATGAGGCAATCGATAGGCTACCTGGAGGGATACCATTCTATCCCAAACATGTGGTGGATTTCAATTCCACAGGAATAGTTTATATGATGATCTGTGAATGTAGATCTTTCTACACTCTAGACCAAAAAGACAATTTTGTAGGCGTATTCACGATCACATATATCTAAGTAAAGCAGGCAAAATGGTTACTCCCATTAGTAGGCATGTTGGTTAAAGCCCAACTTTGATACTAGATGTTGCCGCTTTATGTCTCTGGAACCTGTAATAGATGATTAGATGATGGGAGGGGCGGTGACATTGATAAATTAATATTGCAAAAAGAAGCTAGATGGCTTTGTAGGCTTAATACTACTGAGGCACCAGTCCTAAATGAACAAGTACACTTTAAACCCTTGGTTCTCAACTGGTGGTCGTGACCCAAAAGTGGGTTGCGACCCCATGTTCAGTGGGTCGCGGCATGCCTTCAACTTTTCTAAGTGAGAGGCTCCTCTGCCTCCCCTTAGCACAGCACTATCAGTTCTCGCGCCAAGCAGCCATTCAGAATATGCTGCCCAGCGTCGAGTGTCATCTTAATTGCCTTGTGGGATTACAACTCCCTCATCTGTCCTGTAGAGGTGCCTGGACCAGAGTAACACTCTGTACCACACAGTCACACCTACTACGCATTCTGGTGCGGGAGGTATGTTGTGTTGCAATTCATTTGAATGGTACCCCAAATGCACCTCCCACCCACAGTTTGAGCACCCGCACCGGAACGTGCGGTACCGCAATGCCGTGCAGTCCATTGCAGTGGGACTTGGGTCGCGACTTAATGACCAAGGACAAATGTGGGTCCTAAATTATTGGATTGGAATTACAGGTCTTTTCATAAAAATCCTTGGATCCTCTGCCTCCCCTTAGCACAGCACTATCAGTTCTCGCGCCAAGCAGCCATTCAGAATATGCTGCCCAGCGTCGAGTGTCATCTTAATTGCCTTGTGGGATTACAACTCCCTCATCTGTCCTGTAGAGGTGCCTGGACCAGAGTAACACTCTGTACCACACAGTCACACCTACTACGCATTCTGGTGCGGGAGGTATGTTGTGTTGCAATTCATTTGAATGGTACCCCAAATGCACCTCCCACCCACAGTTTGAGCACCCGCACCGGAACGTGCGGTACCGCAATGCCGTGCAGTCCATTGCAGTGGGACTTGGGTCGCGACTTAATGACCAAGGACAAATGTGGGTCCTGAGGTTACACAGGTTGAGAACCACTGCTTTAAACCATTCCTGTAGGGAAATTGCCTCTTTGCTTAGCTCAGCTTGACTTGTGTAAAACATGTAATGATATGCAACAATACTTTATGAATTCATTGTCTGTACGATTGCTCTTTCAAACCTGGGGGTAGAGTCCCAGAAGGTAATACTACTTTAAATTTATGTTTCGGTATTATGTTGATTAAGAAATAGACATCATGATATATGTGTATTACGAGACTGATCTATTACCAAGTTCGAATATATATTTTCAATCCACCAGGGGGCAATGCTTAGTGGTTGGTGCAGGCGTTGGAGGGAAGAGAGAGAGAGGGAAGAGAGAGAGAGAGAGAGAGAGAGAGAGAGAGAGAGAGAGAGAGAGAGTGAGTGTGTGTGTGATCTTCGGGGATAGGTGGGGAGAGGCTATTCAGGGTGGTGCTGCAGGGGCTACAGTATAGGCAGAGGCTGACCATACGACATAGTTTGGATACTTACTCTTGGGTTAATTAAGGCAACATTTCTTATAGAGATTAACCTTATTATAACTTTCTATGCTATTAACAGGATTGGATAATCTTAATGGCCGATGTAGAGATCTTTCAAATCCAAACCGCTGTTGATGACATATTTGGAGGAATCTTAACTTCTTGATAATCTAGGACCCACTAGGCTATTGCATTATATTTTAACAGCATCTTGCTAGATAGGTAAGTGAGGTGCTGGGATAACTGTATCCATATTTTGCTTGTCACCTATTACCATTTGATCATACATTATTTAAATTGCTAGGCTCTGGTAAGGTCATACTGTAGAGCAAGTTGTTCATACCCCCCTGTACTATATTTACCACTTCTGTACTTTCAACTGAACCTGTATGGTCTAGATATTAATACAAGATTATAGGATAGAATTTATGAAGGGGATGCGTGGGCATAGGCTCTTTTTGTAGCATGTGGAGATTTGTAGATTTTAACATTGGTTTCATGATTTTATAATATGTTTATCTAATAAAAATGTATTTTATATAATCAAGTGGTCATCACTGTGCCTAAAAAGTCTGCATCTTTGTCTTTCTTTCTACTATAAAACTTAGGATGTGGCACAATTGAACCCCCTGCAATACACAACGGTTTTATGGTCATGTCGTGTACAGCAACAAAAAACAAAGGAAAAGGAGGTCTCAAATTCAGATGAATCTTATCTATAAGATGGACACTTGAAATGGCCAATGACTGTTTATATAACCATATGAAACAAAAATACACTCTAATACCTTGCAGTCTTTCACTGGAGTGTTTTTTGAGTTTTCACGGTTGTTGAAGCTGTCAATGCAGTGCTGGAATTTCTTCCCAACGAGGGCTCCGTCTTCCCAACTGGACTCGGCATAGGGGAGACCCATCCACTTGCACAGGTACTCTGGTTCATTGGAGGTGGAGTTTTTCCGGCTGCGGACTGGAGTACATTTTAACATTGTAAATCACCTGTCACTTCCTCCATAGCAGGTGAGGCATATAGGTACATATTTGTGTTCATATAGACACATGACTGCATTTTTTTTTAAAGCAGTCTAGCCCTGATTTAATCTAGCTGAAACTAAATTAAGAAAATAAACATTTTAGATAAAACAGTACATTGCTAGATGTAAGCCACATTAATGTCTATTTAACATGTCCCTCCAAAGATTGTGAATAATATTCCAGGTAACTCAGTCATGCAGAGCATGTAAGGTATTAGGTTTACCTGGAACGTCAGAATGTCCAGTAGCAGATTTACCAGTCTTGACAGCTGTAAAACAATGAATAGGGTATGATAATTGGCATCCTATATACATTTTTCCTGTAAAGCAGAGATATATATATCTATTGAGCGATCTCTTCTATATGTATCTATATACACACAGGTCTGTGACTATATCGGCACCAAAATAGTCCCATTTAAAGATGAATACATCACAGATGTATGAATGAAATTATCCATGAAGGAAGAGTTCAGGGAAAAATGGAAAGTGTACGAACAGAAAGAAGTTGTAGCATAAGCATATGGGTGGTATTCCAAAGTCAGAATGAAATTCAAGAGTTTGTAAAGCTCTTAAAGTGAAATCAAAGTAATTAGCTACTATTTTAAGTAAGATCATTTTATCCCCATAGAGCCAGTAGATCTGCTCGGAAGCTGTTATTTAAGGACAAAGCCATGGATTGTATCTAGCCTGTTATAAAAAGCCTTACCTATGACCCTCTCAACGATTTGATACTGCTTATTCAGTTCTCCTGCTAGTTCCTGCTGGCAGTTATAATACTCTACATCTTCAGGGGAAACTTTTGATAGCCTGGAAATGGAAAGTAAAGCAAAGGAGCAAAAAAAAATTATCTTTAAAAATAGGACTATAACTAATTAAATGATTATATATAAAGCAGAATACAAAAACCATAATGGATAATATACATCATAAAAACTATATTGCGGTAACTCGGTACTATCAAAGTGATGTTACTGACAACTGTACAATCACACTCAGACAGTACCATTGCTTAATTTCGTCATCCTTCTTCTTAAAGTTCTCCAGTTTCTTCAGGCCTTTCACCTTCTGCTGCTGGAGGGACTCTTCACTCTCCCATGTGCTGTGAATGTAAGACCAGCCTTTCCATTTGATGAGGAACTGTTGCTCTGCTTCATCTGTTTCTGGATTAAAGTCAGCACATGGATCCCCATTGGCTTCTGTAGCATATACAGTTGTTGAGGCTCCAATTGCTAAAATCAGATATTGGTAATAATAAACAAGTTATATATGTTCATAGATGTATCACACATACCACATATTTACTCATAAGCAAGTCAGTACATAGTCACATGATTATGTGCCCATCACTCCATGTATGCTGCTTCAACAACCATAGGTGACTGGAAGCAGCACTGTTAAGCCCATGTCAGAATACCCAAAAGGAGCTAGTAGCTGCTGTGTTTAGCTGAGAATTTTCCGACCTGCTCCTTCGATCAGCTGATCGAGGGATGCTGGGCAGAAGGGCATCAACAGCTGCACCCACTGTGCAAATTTTGGCTGATTCATCAACAACTGGCCTACTTGAACTACTGGGGAAGCAGAATTTCTGCTACAGGTTTCTGCACGTCTGCTAAAAATTCAAAACAGAAATAACCCAGTATAATCCAGTAATGAGTTCTCCCCTCTCCACCCCCAAGAGGGAGAGGAACTATTTGAGGGTCTAATAGTACAGTTTCAAGCAATTATATTTTAACACAGGAGACTATCATTAGGATTAATTTACAAGAGTTCTGCTCTAAGTACTTTGGACATGCTGACTGGACCATTTGGCAGAGGTGGAATAAACAGAACTGATGGTGCTTCTCAGGGTTCATGTAACCTTATGGAAAGCAAGCCCATTTGTTCCTGACCGTCCCATACAGAAAGCAGTACAAGTGGCTAAAACAATGCTATTCAATATCCCCATAAATATACATTTATTATATCTTAGACATAAACTAGACATAAGATATGCTTATACATTTCATGGCAGACACAAAAATAGATTGTCTATGATATTTTGAGGGTCTGCCGGGAGACTATCCCATTCACCAATGTGAATGGGATGTGCTATGACAGATTTGCAATTTATATCTTTGAATGGGGTGTTATCAAGGATTATGCTCTGCAGCTATCCAGTTAAGCTGGAATTGGTAAGGATTCCTGTTATTACAGAACATTATTGATATTGTCTCTTTACTGTCTGTTGAGACAAAATGCCACAAACAGCTTTTGGCGACTGCTAGATTGCAACCATTTTTTCTGAGATTTGTATACTGTGTGTAGTCCTTGGAGCCCCATTATATTTTACTGAGCAATTTGATTACATGTCAACATTTTAATCGGTCTATTAAAAGTTATATCTCACTTTATAATGTGTGTGTCCAATATCTCACTTTCTACAATACCCGATCAGTATCTTGAAATGGAATACACAACTTTGTTTTGATTCAAGATCTTTTTTAGAATATACTAATTTTCTCATAAGAATACACGTCTCCTATTTGTAAACAGTCCCGGAGTGCAGCTTAAGGACCAGTCTAAAATGTTATTTTAAACCTCCTCTTGTTTTTACTTGTGGATCCTGCCACTGTTGCTTATAATTCACTAATTTCCTGTGGAGGGCAGACAACTCTGTAATACTGCTCCTGAATCTGCAATAGCAGCATTATCAGTCTCTCTGCTCACAAACTCCCCATAGCACAAAAGATTGCCCTCAGTGGTCAGTGCTCTAACACTCTAAAGGCATTTTCAAGTTAGAGCAAGTGTCATCAACCCCACCTTGAGAGGTCTCAGTGGTCATGTGATTGCAAAAATGCAGGGGGAAAAAACAGTACTTACAGCATAAAAAAAAACTATGATAACTGAGTAGTTCTATCCATGGAAGAGCAGTTGAGCTGTGATTCATGTTAGACCACAAACATCATACATCACAGTGCATGGCACCAACCTCCTTTCTTTCCAGTCCTGGAGTCCATTACTTTCTCTATAGTTTCATTGTTATCTTCTTGTTCATCTACTTCCTCCCCAGCCATTTCTATCAGATCATCAGAATCTGTTTCAAAGTCATCATCCTCTTTGCAGCTACAACAATTTTTTTTTTTCATACATCTATACAGTCTTTTGGATCTATATTGAAACTTATTAAAATATAGATACAGAGGTCATCACCCAAACACGAGCTCTGCTGTATTTTACACATGCAGTGCCTTATCAAAGATTAACAACACAGGGACAGCCCATCTAAATAATGCAAACTGCAAATCAAAAGGATCTGGCCAGAAGGGCTGTCCCCCATATGGTTGTCACAAGGTTGGAAGCACAGAGTTGACTAAAACTATAATGCTACGGCATACAATACAAAGACATTACCCCTCACTAGATACATGTGAATGCAATAATCTGGCCATATAGTATATGTTAACTATGATTTATTTTCTAAAGGCAGGAACTGTCCCTAGTTTCCCCAAGTGCTGATAGCAGAAGAGTAATGTAAATTGGGAGTTATTTTTCAATGGAAGTGGTATGCCCAGCAGTAGAGGGGTTCCCTGGACTTGTGCATGTATCCCTCTTTCTTTCAAAGTATAAACAGAACCTATAAAAGTTTATCCACCGACTTTCCACATCCACGCTGCAATAAAATATTACAAATTTACAAATTGTGACAACAGGCCAGTGTCCGAGCATTTTGGAGCTCTTACCTAACTTTTTTAGCTACTCTGCGTCTTGTTTGCCTTTTAGGCGTGTCATCATCATCGTCATCATCGTCGTCATCATCATCTGAGGATTCTGTCCTCCTCTTCTTTCCACGCTGAGGCCTTTTCTGATTCCTCCAACCAGCCATGGATGAACCCCTGAAAACACAGAATGAAGTGTCTACTTTGCTAAATTGCAAGTATGAAGGAAACATCAAATGGAAATGCTAGACAGCTAAATACATAGGATAAAAGTATATAAAGAGTAATCCTCAGCTTTTTTGTGATCCTGCCACTACAGGCTCTCCCATATTGGTTGTTTATGAGTACATTTTCATTGTTTTTATATTCAAATAAAGTCGTTTTTACACTATGTAGGTGCTCCTTGTGCTTCTTTTCTGTTAGATACATTAGGAAACCACTTTACCTGTCAGAAATGTATAAAGAAATGCACATACTTGCTGTGCCCCAAGGACCAGGGCCGGATTTCCCAACAAGGCTCAGCCTCGGGGCGGCAGGGAGTAGAGGGGCAGCAGGGGTGTGGAATTCCTATCTCCTGATGCCCGGGACATGCAGTTCCAGGCGCCGGGCAAGTAGTTGTTTTCTACATTTAGCCCAGCTTCGGGCAAGCAGAACTAATTGTACAGCGGGGAAGCCATCGCTTGTTTTATACAAGTGATCTCGGTGATGTCGCTGAAATCACTTGTATGCAGTCTGTCCTGGCCTTGGGGCAGCAGAGAGAGTAAATCCAGCCCTGCCAATGACCCTTGCTGTGCTATCAGGTTCCACTGCATAAGGAGAAAGACAACGCTTTTCAACCGTTGTGCAGACTTCATACCTCTACCTCCTGTCTGTACTTTGATAGTGCTGAGCTTTCAACCCTTAGGATGCCTATCCTAAATTTTCTCACTTTTACACTGCCTAAGTACTTCCCCCAAATCCAGCTGGCAATGCAAAGTTGATTAAGATTTTCAGCAAACTGAGAAAGATTTCCAGATCTTTCAAAAAAATACAGAAGTGTTTCCATGACAAAAAAAAACATTCCATCTACCTTTTTGAGGCAGCCCTCCTTGGTCTAGTTTTACGTTTCTCTATTTCACTGTCTCCACTGCTAGCTTCTTCATCATCATCCTCATCCTCATCATCATCATCATCATCCTCCTCAGAATCGCTTTTCTTCTCTCTGTCAAAGTAAAGGTGAAATAAACATAAAGCTCTCTGTCATATGTTTAAAGGACAAAAAGAATGCAAAGAAAGCACTTCTGCCTTGCAGTGCTGGGGGTCCCTGGTTCGAAGCCCGGCCAGGGTCACTATCTGCAAGGAGTTTGCATGTTCTCCCTTTGCTTGCGTGGGTTTCCTCCGGGTACTCCGGTTTCCTCCCATATTCCAAAGACATGCTGGTAGGTTAATTGGCTCCTCTCTAAGTTGGCCCTCTATGTATGCATGTGAGATAGGGACCTTAGATTGTAAACTCCCTGAGGGTAGGGACTGATGTGAATGTGCGACTATGTAAAGTGCTGCGTAAATTGTCGGCGCTATATAAATACCTGTAATAAATAAATAGATCTGAATTACCAGTAACCACAAAAATACTCACTTCTTGCGGGTGCTTCTAAGGCTTCTTCTCCTAGGGCTTTCACTTTCAGAATCCATGCTCTGTTAACCATATTTTATATTTTTAATACATGTGTATTCAACTCATTTTACAAACACAATGCAAATCAACACTGGTTCAACTATACATTATTTGAGTTACATGTCAAATCCTCTAAACAGGTATTGAGAGATTTAGAATGAGTGGAGTATGACATAACATTCCTCTACCTGCCATTAGTTCAGAGGAAAGCACTTCCTGGATCCATCACCCTTCCCTACCTTTCCGGAATATAGTTAATCTTGGAGCTTCTTAAGGCCCTTTAAAATACTGAAGCTCTTACCAGAAGAAACACATTCCCTGTTGGGTTTTAAAAAAGAAACTTAACTACTTAAAGATCAGGGTGTTACACTCCCTTCCTGGCCAGGCCATTTTTCACTATTCAGCACTGAGGTACTTGCAATGCTGTAGTGAAATTCATTTTATATCATTTTTTGGGGAGAGATAGCATTTTATTTTGGTAGTTTTTATTAACCACCACAATTTTTTATATTTTTTACCATATAGTAAGTACAGAAAATTTAGATTTTTTTTTTTTTACATTTGAAATTACATTTTTTCAATGTTTTCCCTACGTTATATTATGGGACATTTATTACTACCCAAATTTTTGGGTAAAATATAAAACATGGGGTCATGTTCGTTAAAACGACACCAAACGCATCAAGCCTTAAAATTGCCCCCGCCCGCAAAATCCTAAAAAAACGACCATACCCAAAATTGGCTCAAGGCGACGCATTTAGAAGCTTTTACCACTCATCAATTTAGTGTTAACAGAGATTGATGGCCCTAGAATTATTGCTCTCAATCCGACGTTCACAGTGAAATGTAACATGTGCTGCGCAATCGTCATTTTCGCACATAGGCGCACCCAACGCATGTTTGTATGTGGGGAGGGGGACATTAGCAATTTTTTTGTTTTAAAAAAAAAAAATTTTGTCACTTTAAAAATAATTAATGCTTTTTTTATTTTTTTTACACTTAACTTTATTGCCATCACATAGTGGGCCAACAAGTCCCTTATGTGATAGCCAACTTACAGTGACAGGTCCTCTTTATGGAGACATCAGGGGTCTTTAAGACCCCTAATGTCACCTAGGGATCCCCAGAGAAGGTGATGAAGCAGAGATCTGCTTCACCAGCTTCTGTAGCCAGGAATGACAGCTGAATGCGGAAGTGATGTAATATACATAATTCCTGCGTTCAGAGACCAGAGGGAAATTGTGTACAGATCTCCCTCTGATCTACCACGGGGCACAGCGGAGCTCGGGATCGGTGGCAGAAGGGGGGGCCGCACACCCACATGCAAAATACAAGTGATCGGGCGGCTCTTCAGTTCTTGGGGGCGGGGAAGGACGTTTTAAAATGCTCACCTGCATCTAGAAGGCTCCCGTCCGGCTGTTTATGTACGGCCGCTGGACGGAAAGCAGTTAAAAATAACTTGGCCAGCCTCTATGGTCAAATGCCCCACTTTGATTGAAGCAACACTAGTGTGTAGGACAGCTTTAGAAGACAGCACCAGGATTTGTAAGTGGTCCTGGCCAGAGGTTAATCATAGACACCTACACAGGTGTGTGAAATGTACATTCGCACACACACACTGTGCCATCATCCTTGCTTGGGAAAATCACCCTTTACATGAGCCAAAAACTAAACGCAGTTGTAGATCTGCATTTTCCTATACTCAAATATCAACAATTACACCAAAATATGCAGAAATTCAAGAACATCCCACGAGTTTACTTCTTACCTCTGCTTTAGTATTAAACCTCGATGGCTCTTGTCTACTCCGGTTGGACCTTCTAACTCCATATACATCAGGGTATTCCTCCCACATCTGTAAAACAAAGACAATGTAAAGAGAGATCTGATTCACATTCTGTTAGCCAATGCTTATCAGAAGAATCCAAATAACCAAGACTATAGCCCAAAAAACTGTAGTCAAGGAAAGTAACCAATATTAAAAGGAAAACAAAGCTCTGATTTTATGTTATTAAAGATATAGGGCCTTGTTCTGTAGGCAGAGCTAACAATGTTACATCCAGACTAGTTTCCCAATAGAGATAAGATAGTACATCTTAAATCTTCATCCATTCATAACTATGTTAGGACACCAAGGCTATTGATCACTGACATCCAAATATCTCTTGTGCCCCTGGGATCTATTTCCAAGCAGTCTTATTCCCCATATTTCCCTCAAACCAGTCCCTACACAGCACCACACAGGTTTTTCTTGGAGTGAAACATGCTGCGTAACTTTCTCTCTCTCTCTCTGCTTCGTTTATCACAAATGTTCAACCACATTAAAAATTTCAAGTAAGGTCTGAACGACCAGCGGATCAGTCTCTGTGAGAAACACCTTAGTACTGACATGGCTTACTCCCTTCTTTTTTATTTTTAAAATTGAGCTTTCTACATGTGATTGACATGAAGAATCCTACACGGGTGTTTTGAAAGACTAGCTCTCTTGCATTACAAGCAGGGGGTTTCGATCATTAGATTACAATCAAAATGGACCTGGGGTGGACTTCTTCACCATGGCAATGCCTTGGTGAAAACCAGAAGTACTTAACCAGTAGGATGTGAGCCCTGCATATAGCTCAAAGCTTAAAGACTATGTCATTATTCTGTGTATGTTGAGATGAAGATGTTATGTTAATTTTAACAATAAAGCAAATGTTTTTGCTACCTTTCTTTTCAAACTTTCTGCTAATTCTGTGCCTCAAACAGGGCCAATGCCTTGCTCTTCCTCTGAAACTTCTGGTAGTGTTCGAGGCTGCTGTTCCATATGGATACAGTTGTGCCCCCTCCCAGTTTGCTTCTTGGAAGTCTCCCTCACAAATCCACAGGCTTCCAAAGGTCTGCTTTCTCCTGCTGAACCAGCAAGAGAAACAGTGATAGGCAGGGATAAGGGAGTGGACAAACTGCAGACAACAGAGCAAGTGGAAGTGCCACGTAGAAGCATTGTGGCCAGACTAGCAACTGGTCAAGCTGCTTCTAGTCGGCTGCTACGTGACTATTAAATACGTGATTGTTGTGGATTGCAGTGCTATTTTGAAAAAAGGAAGGCAGCTATAGTAAACTGATATACTCTTTTTAGAACCACTCTTAAGTTGGCCGTACGTTGCTTGAACTTTGGGTCCTGCTGACTCGACCAAAATTCCCTGTGTCGCCCTGGAGGCACCACTCCGGGCAACAGAAGTTGTTTTTTCAATCTGCTTTGTCAAAGAAGCCATACACTCCTATATGTGCCCATGGTACAGGATGTTATGGGTTACTGCACTTTGCCCACCATCCCCGTTCCTTTGTACTGGAATGCTGAATAGCCCATATGCTTGTGCGCACACAGGAATACTGAGACTTCACAAGATTTACTTCACAAATCCCCTCAAGAACGTCTTGCCTTTTTCACATCCGCCAATCTCTCCTTTTTGGGAAGATTCTTCTGTTTTGTATCGGTTGCTGCATCCTGGGTTTTGGAGCCTGCAGAGTCGCATTCTGATTCAGACTGACTCTCTGAAGACACAGAGCTGCTATTGGATTCACTGGCCTGCTCACTTGCCTGCTCACTTGCTTGCTCGCTTTCTGATTGGCTGCCTGATTCTGACGCGGAGTGATTAGACTCTTCTGAGGCCGAATGACTAAAAAAAAAAAAAGAAGAACAAAAAGCAATGCAGAAAAACCATTACAAAATAACTCAGCCAAAGGTGAATAGCTATTAAAGTACTTCAATATCTAAAGGAATAGGTTTGCTGGAATAAAACAACCAAAAAAAGTATCAGAATGAATTCCCCATTTGAAATGAATTGCAGCTCCCCCATTAAGAAGCGAATAGTAAAGTATTCCTTAATACTATTCTACAAATTTACATAATACATAGACTGAAATTTCAGAATTGTGTTACTCTCATTAACATACAATGGAGAAGCCTAGGTTGTAATGCTTTAACCTCTCACCACCCCCCTCTAACATTACAAAGAAAGAGAAGCAAGTTTACATTTTTACCCTTAAAGGAGAACTATGGGGTTAAGGCTTTTCCCCATAGTTCTCCTTAGGGTAACGGGAGGACACAAACTAGCGTCCTCCCATCACCCTAGGCTACTGCTCGCGGTATACTGAGACGCCGCAGCTGAAGCGGATCCCGACAATTGTGACGGGATCCGCCCAGCTGCGTGACTGACAGCTGTAGCTCTGACAGCTCTGCCTATCTAGTGGCAGAGCAACCTGTCCCCGCCCCCCCCCCCGTCTGTTCCGCTAGCCAGCGCTGGCGGAGCGGAGCAGGGGGAATCCAGCCCCTCCCCTGTCACGGCAGAGAGCCGTGACATGATCCAGAGGTGAGCGAACGCTGGTATGTGTTCGCTCACCTCCCGATCTACTGAGCCGACCTGTGACAGTCTCATTGTCACAGGTCGGCTAGAACTATGAGGTGAGTGAAAAGCACTCATCTCATAGTTCTCCTTTAAGCAGTCAAGAAACCCTAACCCTTCCCTAAAAAAGGGAATATTGAACATTCGCAGAATGTACAGGTTGGTTTTTAATAATGCTTCATTTATAATAAATTAGTTTCTAACACACATTATGAAAACACATTTTTCACAATGCACAATAATAATAATTTGTATAATTAACTAGTTAGGGTAAAGGACTATTTCACTAGTCGATGTTTTGAGTTCATATTTGCACCAGTTCTGTCAGTGTCAGAGGTTTCTGTACCATGTACCTGAATCTGATGCTATTTACTACACTTGTCATAAATATAAGAAACTGTTCTTGTCAAAACAACTGTCATTTCCCTGAACTCCAGGAGCAGATTAAAGACAATACATTGCAATGTAAACATGGCAGATTTTACAATGCAGGATGCAACAGACAAGTACACTGCAGGTTGTGAGTGTCATGCTATACGGCGTGTAACTCAGTACAGCAGAATGATGCCGCGTACTAACAAATAGGGAAAGGAAGATTAGATGAGACATAAATGCACACAAGCCCAATAAAGCATGACACTGAACATGATGCCTCCTCCTTCCAAAGCCATTTATTGTGTTCTCATAGCAAGTTAATGTCATGTCCTTACAATTACTTCATTTAAATCAATAAAATGAAACCTTTATGTAAGAATAACACACATGGGTGTTGTATTACTTCTAAATGTCGTAGACAGTCGTGCTGACTTGGTAAATTTGCATGCCATAACATGAAGCAACAGCAGAGTGCAGCACAAACAAGCTGAGGAAACTCACAGAGGATTAAAGGGCTGGGAGGCCATTTTGTAACATAATCCAATCACATGCTGTGTCCCGGCAGCTGCTGTGCTGAACCAAAATGGAGAATCTCACACAGCATGCCTGCAGTTTTGTGTGTTTAGGAGACGCGGGCCTTTCTTGGGAAGTCATAAATATTGCAATAATAAACAGAAAAGTATTCACAAACAATCAGGGAACCATACATGATTGCTGAAATAGGGAAATGCATTCCCATCACTCTGACATGGTAAAAATAGTAAGGCTCAAATTTCAACAGGGGGAGGAAGAAAGCTCCAAATTCTCCTCCGTATGAGTCACTCAGTTTGATTACATAAGCAGAACATGAAGGTCTGAAACATGAACGCTTTGCTATTGTTGGTAGGAAGATTTACCAGCAACGCATTTAATAACCACAAGAGAAATGCCTATACAAACTATTGCCAAGGCTATAGACAGATAGAAAAACTGTGCACAAGCTTTGTGTCTTTCCATTCATAGTGTTCTATGCCAAAAAAAGGTTTACAAATACAGTGTCAGATGTCAAACCCATATAAGTATTGGATATTGGCACATATATGGCAAAAAAAAAAAGATGGTCTCATAAAAAAACATGCTCTTAAGTTCAATTGCTCATGTGACATTTTCCTCAAAATCGTACAAATAACTAATGACAGAGTAAACTTTACGCTGGCCACACCCTTCAAGATCAGATCCTACATTACGTGTGTATGCTCAAATCTGGAAGATTCAAGCCTTAAGAGGCCATAGACATATCGTTTTTTTCTGGATGAAAAAGAGAACATGGGCCAATTCCCCCATCGCCGGTGTTCTATCAAAATCTCCAACTACCTCACTTCTGTTGCTCAGAAAGACTGGAGCTCTGTATAGTGGTGGTGTGCATGCGTGCATAGCGTTTTCAGAATTCTCGTTGAGTTGCCAACTGCTAAATATTGTTAAAATGCAGCTGGAGATTTCGACGGGTTGGAGCTTTCGATAAAACACGGGTATCCGCGGCTGATAGAATACCTGAAAAGTGATTGCATCTGATTGGCTGCAGTCACTGTTTGGTCAACAATTTTCTGCCCGGTTGAGCCTGGTGGTGCCAGCAAGGCCACCCACGGTTAGAATTTCTAATATATTACCAGCTTTAGTTGAAATTAAAACGACAGATTATACAAGGGGCACTAGAAATCATACTATGCTATTCATATATATTGGCCTCTGTTTGCCCGTTGTGGGCACAGCTTCCACAGTTTAGATCCTCTTTAAAGCAGGCCACATGGCAAATATACTAAGAAAAGATTCTCCTTCTAGTGGCTCTCTGCATGGCTGATTATACGCTGCTTAATAAAAGCAAGCAATGCTCCAGATTTCAAGCATAGCTTGAGTTTCTGTACTGTTCTTCAGTTCTGTACTATATCTAGCAATGAGTCCTTCAGGCAATCGGAGGCATTCATTATCGTACAGGGAGATATTTTTAGCAAAAATCTCCCTGCAAGGGGATCCGGATCCTTCAGTGGAGAAGAGTAAAGGATACAGAGTTCCACACACTTCTTGTTATTAGCATAGATCATGCTGAGTCCTTTGTTTAAGGTAACCATTATCAACCAAGGCCTCTGGGGTGAAAGGGAACTAAGGACTCTGATGTAAAGGGGGCTCCTTATGTGAAGGGGGAAATTCTGATGCTGGGCTTATAATCTAAAGGAAGGGGGGCTTCTGATGCGAAGAGGGCTCCTAATGTAAAGGGGGCTTTAATGTGAAGAGGGAACCCCACCTTTGTGCTTTTGCATGGGGCCCCCTTCTAAAATGCATACCCGACCCCATCTGGAATTCGTTTTTTACATTTTTGCCTGGGGTGCCCACAGATTTTGCATACTTTTAAGGGTTCTGCGACTGAAAATACGTTGAGAAATGCTGCTTTAAGGACAGGTAGATATCTGCCTATTAATGATGGCCTTAAGCTAGCCATTTTGCCGATTCAGCAAGAAACTTGGGCTGTGGGTGGCCCTGTAGCACCAATCAGTTTGACATGAATTTGATTTAAAAATAAACTGAGCTGGGTGGAAAATTATTGAGCAAATAATGACTGCATCATATCAGATACAGTCACTCTTCCGGTATTCAGATGGCTGCAGGTGCTGGCTGTTGGAATACAATAGCCAGCAGTGGAGAAACTGCTATTTTCTCTCACTCAGCCCAAGGGCTATGCTGTATGGATAGCTCTAGTGCCAGCACAGTTATGACTCATACTAAAAAAAACAAAAAACTAAACTATCGAGACTAACAAAGGAGTTCCCATTCTGAGCACTGTAAGGACAAAAACTATCAGGATTCAATATCTGCACAGAAAATTCCCCGAGCTTATAGAGTATGGGTAGATAACACCACAATGGTTAAAAGGGAATTTCCGCCTTTGACCTGATAAAAGAAAAACATTTGAATGTATTATTTTTTTTTGCATTGGAGCCAGTAAAGCATTGCAATCATGATCTGTAGATTGCGGGTGCAATGTTCTGGCTCCTGCACACTCTTCCCCCCATGTCTGTACCTTGACACTGCCATTAAAGCTGGCCATACACTATGCAAATTGTGGGTGGTTCTTGAAATTCACACAGTGAGTGCCGCTGTCAGCACCCTTCCGTCCCTGGCATGCCAGAAGATCGAAGGAGCCAGTTGGAAAATCTTCAGCCGAACAGAGCTTGCAGCCAACCAGAATCGGTTATATTTTCTTTATTTGGCCCATGGGTTGAACAAAGAAAATATAACAGTGTATGGTCAGCTTACATAACATGGGCAGAAGGAGGAATGAATGGACTACAAGCACAGTGATGTCACTGCACTTGTATTCCATTGAGAACGACAAGCCCCTCTGCCCATGGTGCATGGACTTGTTTCTCCTTTCACATATGCAACTCAAAGGGTCTGTGAGTGGATGGTGCAGCTGTGGGGTCAGAGCCATGCACAGCTGCGCCAGATTACTGTGCAATATAGGTAAGTGGGGGCTGGGGGTAGGAGGTGTGGGAGGGGTTGCCCCTGAACATGGGTTTAACATGAAGCATGATCAGAAAACGTAGAATATAAGGAAGAAAAAACACAATCATTCAGTTTTAGCAGCTACAATAAGGTTTATTTATAAATTATAATATTGAATATTTTTGGGGGGTTGATAACATGTTGTAGTCCTTGGCTTTATTTTCTGTAGAAGGGCCCGGCAGGCAGAGTGACATGCCTGCCAGGGAAAGAATTAGATGTACAGGACTGGTGGAAGAGAGCCAAAGAAGTGTGTGAGACAGCAGGGTGTACGGGTGTTCCTTAGTGAGGTGTAAACAGGCAGGAAATAAAGACGTCTCTCTTTAATAGCTGTTTCATCAAACCCAATATATCTATGCACTATT